TGACACAGAAAAAATAAATTTATACATAGTGTTATACATTGAAAAGGGCTTACTAAAGAACACATCGAACAGACAAACTTCCATTAACCCTTTCAGACCTCACGCCAAACTACCGAATATTTTTTTATGATTTTTTTAAATAAAAGGTCTTTATATTTTATGAAAATATTCCTTCATGGATTTTCAGGGCATCCGTTTAAAATTGTAGGTGAAAAGCATTTATTTATGACTGAAACTCATTTTAAACACTAAAATAATTTTTAAAAAAATTAAAAATTCGGTATTTTTTCTTTTTATTAGCTGTCTTCGTACTTCTGCAGCTTGTTTTGCCAAAACTGAGAAGTTTCTCACTCTTAGGTCTTATTAACATTCGTTAAATATAAATGGAAATATTGTGGTCAGAACCTACCCGCACAATCGATGCATCATGATTGAAAAGGACTTACTAAAGAAAATACAAAACTATAAAGCGATGACTTCTTTATCAGACAAACTTCATTAACAAGGCAATGGACAAAGCCAAAATTCAAAAATGTCCAACTTAGATGTTAGGAAATCATATATTTTAATATGAAAATCAGGCTCTCTGAAGGAACGTAATGATGGTATTCTCAACCGCACAAAACATATATTCCACAGCATTTGCACAGCACTTTTTAGCCGACAATATGCCAACCATTCCCAACCATTCAGTAAACACCGACTCGACAATTATAACGGCAGTGTTGGGAGTTCTAGACCGTCACCGTTACCGTTACCGCTAGCGATACTTCCGCTTTCCCCTTTCAGCCACTACCCCACCTTCCCCACAGCCAGAGCTACAACTGTCTCGACACAAATTGCATGAATAATTCTCTTTTAAATTGCGCAACAACAACAACAACAACGACAAACACAAGAACAAGCTATGGCTATGGCGATGGAAAATGCAACGGCAACAACAACAAAGTCGAGCAAATAAAATAAACAGCCATAGACATTCAGTGATCCAATCCCGCCCGCCCGGTCGCTCCAACACTTTCATTGACTCAAATGGTTTGTTGTTGTGCACACTCGTAGATGTACGGGTACTACCAAAAATAGAATCCCCCGTCCACCACCCACCTGCCAGCCATTAACCAAGTCAGTAACTACAGTCAGCAGCCAGCAGCTGTTTTTCTGCTTTTGGCTGCATTTGAAATGAAATTTAGTCGCGTCTCGTTTTCGTCGTCGTCGCCCCTTCCCCGTCCCCGTCCCCGTCGCCGTCGCCGTCTCTGACGCTCCAAATTAGTTGCAATTTAAATGCAAAAATTAAAAACTTTTTTAGCATCGCTTCTCCAACTTCATCGTCGGCGTTATTATTGTTGTAGCTGTCGTCATCAGCAGCAGCGCCTTCTTCCTCCTCCTCACCATTTCGGCCTGTCTAGTCCTCTGTCTGGCAAATTGTTGTTGTCATTTATTAAGCATTGCATTTTCATTATGTTGCATTTCCATTTCCATTTACAGCCGCCTTGTTGCTACTTTATTTTTCCTCCCCCTCTCTCTCTCTCTCTCTCTCTCTCTTTTTGGTGTGCTTGCAATTAAATGTTTCCTCCACTGCATTTGTCAGAACAAGTGTGAGTGGAATTTTCAGCTGTAAGCAACGTTTTGGCCATTTAAGTTCGGCTTTACTTTGTCAGCAGCAGTCCATATTAATTCAAGGAACCCATTTTTAAACTTATTAAGTTAGTTCAACCACTAGAGGGTTCTAATGTGACTGACAATTATTGCTCTAAAACACAGGCTATGCCTTGCATCAATCAATTTCATTAAAGCCAGCATTCCAATTTGTAGTCATGGGAACTCTGGTTGTCAGGGAATTAAATGAGAAGCTTTTTTCCTGCAATAATCTCAAGCCATTCGAGCAAGGTATTAGATACAAAGGAACAAAGCATTTTTATTAACCTATCCTAGCGTTACAAGTACCAGATTACTTCGAAGTTATTACGCTAGTCATCGCATAATCAGTTCAATGTAATTCCTTTAATTGTTAATTTAATTTAATTACAACTTTAATGTAGTTATTGCTCTCGTTCTTATAGTCATGATCCATTTCATTTAAAACTCAGCTGCCTTCACATCCACAACAAAATATATATTATTTAAGAGTAAATCATTTATGTTCCTTATTTAATTTAAAAATGCGTATTTAACTTTTATTTTAAATGTGTTGACATTCATTTATAAGTATGTAGAGAAATCGTTCGTTCAATTCAGCTTTTCAATGCTCTGCCCACACATTTCTCATTTCGACAAAAAAGCATAATTAATTTATAAATGGAAAATGCTTGCACAACAAGTCGTTATTGGAATACTCTTTAAACATGCACACACACACACATTTAAAAAATGACACGCCCACTTGTAAGCTCTAACGACCTTTTGCCTTAACACCCACATGCATTAGCCAGCTGCCTGAGTAACCTAATATGCTTGTTTTGTGCAACGCACACAAGCACACAAACACACACATACACTGTACAGTGTACACACACCCTTTTTATGGGATATTTCACGCCCTGGCGCTTGCTTTATACATTTTGCAATTAATTTTGCAGCGTTGCCGAGTTACGAGTTACGAGTTACCCAAACGGCTTGTTTGGGTTAATGTGCCGCCATATGCTGCACATAACAAAGTTGCGTGTCACACACACACACACACACACATACACTGATACTATGTAAATTTGCAGCAGTCGATGCACCAAAAAAGTGAATGCAAGTTTTTGGTTTTCCTGTTGTTGCATTGTTCTTCAATTATTTACCAATTAAGTAAATAAGTTATTGGGTGTAGCAAAAAAAAAGTGCTGCATAATTTCAGGCGTCGGCAAACTTTTGCTTATTCGCCATCAGTGTGATGTCTCTGCTTCCTTTTTCCAGCTCATTGCACAACAACTTGTTATAAATCTTTCTCGTCTTCCCTGCTCTATCCTCAGTCCCCTCCGCTCCCTTCTCTATTCTGCCCTTCAGCCTGCGTGTTCGCTTTCACTTGAGGCTCGGCCATACGCAGCAAATCAAATGCCAGTGACATATTACAACATCAATCAAAGCAACGCTCATGTTACTGCTGCGTCTTCTTCTTCCTCTGCCGCTTCTTATTGTTGTTATTATTTCCACTTATTTCCTCAGACGTTGTGCCCGATGCGTCCTCGTTGCAGCTCTTGAGCTTCAGCTCAGCATTACATGCTCTGTGTAGCCTTTAACATATCCTTGGAGACTGGAGCTGCTGTGACACAGCTTTGATTTCTGTATAATGTGACTGGCTCGAGAGAGAGTGTGTGTGTGCGTGTGTGTGGGCTGGGATGGGGACATCACAGTAACTGAAGCTGAACTGTGAACGCATATGTGCGTCGTTAATGGCGACATTATGCCTGCAAGGCGACACTAAACATATGCTGGAATCGAGTCCCAAGTGGCAAAAGGACTAGGTTCCACCCATAACGTGAAAGAGCAAGGACAAGGGGGCCTTTTGCTTATTGTAAGCATGCACATTTATCGCCTTGATGGCAGACAACCCCATTTCCAGTAGTTAAAACCCATCTCTCTACCCGAATTCGAATCTTCCTAAAGGCAACTTTTCATTTTAATAAAAGTGGCTCGAAGAAATGTAGTCCTCAAGAAAAGGATGGTTAGACGTAAAGCTTGCATTTCATTATTAAAAATTACGTTTCATTTTTTCGCACAATAAAAACTGAAATTAAAACTAAAGTTTTATTTTAGACAAAAATGTGAACGATAGAGAAAAGGAGGAAGAGTACTCACTCTTTTATAGTCAGAGAGAAAGAGTAAGGAAGCGTAGAGAAAGAGAAACGTGGAAGAGGTGGTAGAGGGCGTTATTTGATGAATATATGTATTTTCGAAATTTGAATTTACGTCCCAAATTTTAAAACAGGAACTATAATGATAAGTTCTTTGCACTGAAGGAAACCACGAAAGGCAACATTTGACTTTCTTAGAAACTAAAACATTTCTTCAGTTCTTAACTAAAAGCAAGAAGACAAAGTTCTGTTATAATTTTTGTACATTCCTTAGATAGAATTCTGTATTATTCATAAAGTTTGGTGTTTAGTGAGGTGTCGAAGGACCTTTAGTGAAAACTTAAAAAAATGTCAGTTAGGTAGCAGTTCTTAATAAGAATTGTTAGATTTGGTAAAAACTAGCCCCCCTTTATTCTTAACAACAATTGTCTTCTGAAAAGCGGAAGAGAGAGAGAGAGAAAACTCGAGCGACACAATACGCCTAATTCTGTTTTTACACGGTAGATTGATTTCAGAAACAACCGTGTAAAAAAAAGAAACTGATCATATGCAAAAATAGGTGATTGGTTCCTTATCTCAAAAGAAATATATATGCAATTTTTAATTTTCAAACCGTGTTATATCAAAATCGTGTAAAATATTTAAATCTTTCTAAATGTCGTGTAACCATCCATATATTAAATTTTTAATTGTAAAGTGTAAAAACGGCCGTGTAAAAACAGTATTAGGTGTATTCTTTAACTCTAGCTCTAAGTTAAGCCCTACTTATGTCATTTAACCCAGCCACGTAGGGTCTTTGGGAGTAAGGGTAAGGGGTTTGAATAGCTTCTCTGCCCTCCTATGCTATAGTCCCGATTCCAACAGGACACGTTCAGGCAGAGACACTATTGGCAGTTTCTTCCTGCCTCCTGCCTTGCTACAAACTTCAAATTTGGAATTCGGACTCAGAGCGGCTGGTGTGCCTTCCTCTACTGTTGTGGCCGTTAAGTGACGCGTCACCCACGAGGGGGCAATTAAATTTACGAGCAATCAAAATCCGAGCTATCAGAGTATGCGCGCCACTATTAATTAAGGAATATGGCGGCAGTGGCTGCCACTGTTGGCTGATTTCATTTGATGGGGAAACTATAAAATCGCTATTTAGTTTAAGACTGCGATGGCAAATAAAAGCGAAAAGGCGAAACCTTTAATTGACCTCCGATTTCTTCTTCTTCTCAATTGCAGGCCTTGCGCTGAATACCAACTCGTTGACGGGTCGTCGTGACTCCTTCGATCGCACCACCTCCGCCTTCAGTCCCTCAGCAATGGACTACACCAGCAGCAGTGTGGCGGCCGCCAATGTGGTGAACAGCTCGGTGGCTCAGGCGGCTGCAGCCGCCGCCGCAGCCGCTGCACGCGCCAAATGGCCGGGCGCCATGACCAATAATGCCGCGTACGGGGCTTTGGGCGCTGCCGCCGCTGCTGCAGCTGCTGCGGCTTCGGCTGCTTCGGCCAGTCCCATTGGAGCGCCGCTCACGCCACCGCCACCACAGTCATGCCTGATGACCACGAATCGGGCGCCGGGCGCCGAATCTCGCCAGCGCCAACAGATGACCGCTGTCGGTCTGCCCGCCAGCGCTGCCGCCGCTCAAGCCGCGGTGGCTGCAGCGGCCAACAACATGTTTGGATCGAATAGCTCGCTCTTCTCCAATCATTTGGCCATACCGGGAACCACACCGGCGGCTGCGGCCGTCGCTGCAGCAGCTGCTGCCGCCGCAGCTGCGACTTCGCGTCAGGTGGCGGCAGCTGCAGTGGCTGCGGCCGCCACTGGAGGCGCCCCACAGCCGGGCCGGTCGCGTCTCCTCGAGGATTTCAGGAATCAGCGCTACCCGAATCTGCAGTTGCGCGACTTGACGAACCACATTGTCGAGTTCTCGCAGGACCAGCACGGATCGCGTTTCATTCAACAGAAGCTGGAACGGGCCACCGCCGCCGAGAAGCAAATGGTGTTTAGTGAGATTTTGGGCGCTGCCTACAGCCTTATGACCGATGTGTTTGGCAACTATGTCATCCAGAAGTTCTTCGAGTTTGGCACACCCGAGCAAAAGAATACGCTGGGCATGCAGGTCAAGGGGCATGTTTTGCAGCTCGCTCTGCAGATGTATGGCTGTCGTGTCATTCAGAAGGCACTGGAGAGCATCTCCCCGGAACAGCAGCAGGAGATTGTCCACGAATTGGACGGACATGTGTTGAAGTGTGTCAAGGATCAGAATGGCAACCATGTGGTGCAGAAGTGCATCGAATGCGTAGATCCAGTCGCACTCCAATTCATCATCAATGCCTTCAAGGGTCAGGTCTACTCATTGAGCACACATCCCTATGGCTGTCGAGTCATTCAGCGCATTCTCGAGCATTGCACTGCGGAGCAAACGTCTCCCATTCTCGATGAGCTGCATGAGCACACCGAGCAACTGATACAGGATCAATACGGCAACTATGTGATTCAGCATGTCCTGGGTGAGTTTTAAGGATTAACTGGGCAACTATCAGTAAAGTAGTGCTTGAATCCTTGCCTTATCTACAAGTATAACAAATGATCAAACATTCCTCAATTATTTGGGTAGCACAAAGCTTCCTGTATATTCAGTTGTCTTTAAAGGATATTAGCTTGTGTATTCAAACGATTTACAAATTTAGTAAGCTTTAAATGTAGTTGTAGATTTACAAATGGGTCTGTTGAGGGATGCAGATGGTTTCCATTTTATTCGGTTTTGAATATATTCTTTATTATTTATTTCAATATTTAAAGTGTTGATTAACAGATGTTTTCCATTTTATTCTGATTTTTACATATTTTTTCGTTTCAATATTTAAAGTGTTGATTAACAGAATGCCCTTAAAATGTTTACACCACTCTGCCTAATTTTCAGGGACTGTAATCATTATAAGTGTTATTAAACAAATTACGAAATAATGATTATTTTTTTAATTTTATTAATTCGCTCACAATTTAATGATTAATTTTGAGTATTACTTTAAAAATTAACCCATAATCATTATTGCCGAGCAAAAAAATAAAACTTATAAAATAATGATTATTCTTCGAGTTTTATATTTTTGATCAAATTCAATTGAAATGTTGTCTGTTTCATAAGGTTTAAGGACAAAATTCATATATATCCCTAATCAGTGAGTCAAGGCGCACATTTTTAATTAATTTATTAATTTTTAAATTGCAAATTGCATTAGTAATTTTAGTTTACTGATTAGAGTTAAAAGTGTTCTAAAGATTCAGAATAATCGAAGAAATCGGGTTTCTAGCATTATTATAATCCCTAATTGTTCCCTTCATTTTGCAGAGCATGGCAAACAGGAGGATAAGTCCATATTGATCAACAGTGTGCGTGGCAAGGTGTTGGTTCTCTCGCAGCACAAGTTCGCCTCGAATGTGGTGGAGAAGTGCGTGACTCACGCCACCCGTGGTGAGCGCACGGGCCTCATCGATGAGGTCTGCACGTTCAACGACAAGTAAGTCTCGCCATCAGCCACAACCCTTACAATTCGAAATTAATTTTGGAAATTAAAAAAATAACTCCTTTGCAGCGCCTTGCATGTGATGATGAAGGACCAATACGCCAACTATGTGGTGCAGAAGATGATCGATGTGTCGGAGCCGACGCAGCTGAAGAAGCTTATGACCAAGATACGCCCCCATATGGCCGCCTTGCGGAAGTACACGTATGGCAAGCACATCAATGCCAAGCTGGAGAAGTACTACATGAAGATAACCACGCCCCTTGCGGCCACAAGTGGTGCAGCAAGCGCCGCCACCTCGGCAACTGGTGGTGCAGTCGTCACCACCAGTTCGATTGCCGCGGCCGTCGCTCCCTCATCGTCGAGTGGCAGTTTGGTGAATGCCTGCTTGGCCGGCACTACGGTTTTGGGCACGGCCACAACCACAACCACCAACAGCATTGGCAACTCCTCCCCCATTGCCTCATCGTGCGAGAACGGCAACTCTGTCTTGATGGCCGAGCCCACATCGCCAGCCGTCTCCGAATCCTCCTCATCGGTGGTCGCAGCGGTGAACAGCAATTTGGGTCCCATCGGACCCCCAACCACTGCTAATGGCGTCTTGTAAATGCCTATCGATAAAAATAAAAGCAAAAACAAAAATAGAGCAAAGCAGTGCAGATCAGACTTTTATCGAATTTTAGTTTTTTAGTAAGAAGCAACTCTGGCAACAAGGCAAATGCAAAAGAAACGAAGAAAGCAAAACCTATAAAAAGGAGGATGAAGAAGAACAACCTAAAAAGAAAAGCAAGAAATAGCGCCTAGCATCCAAAAAGGAGGAAAGCAGCATACTATAAATACTATAAATATTATATATATATATATACCTATACCTATGCATAATTGTAATGTAATTTATTTATACAGACAGATACACACACATACATAGCGATAGCGACAAAAATCACAGCAACATTCATGCGAAAGTGAGAGAGCCTGCTTTTTAGTTAGTCGTCTTTATATAAGAAAGAACGTTTCGAATTAACCTGTTTAAGGAGGTAGTCGAAAAATTGTATATTTAAATGTAACACCCAATGCCCCCCAAACACTTGATGCAAAATGCTTTTGTAAAGTGCGCTAAATCACACACACACCCATACATAAAGCAACATTTTTAAAATGAATCGCATAAAGAAACAAACAAAAACAAAAGAAAAATCGAAAATCGAAAACAAAAAATGAAGAGTCGCTTCATTTATTTAGTCGATGACTCTCAAACTGTGCTGTCTAAAGTAAACGTATTGCTGCTGCACTGCTTGATGTGTGGGCAAGCGCAACTCGGCAAGCAGTTCGCTTGTATAAATTGTATTTTTACACGAACAAACAAAAACAACCAACAAAATGGATTGAAACTAGAAACAACAACAACAACAACTTCGGCATAAAATTGTAAAAAATTTGCGCATTTATGGGCGCGCTCGCATATACATACATAGTTATATTCTATTATTATATTATTATTTGTATAAAAACCTAAAATAATTATTTGCAAGTCTGTATAGATTTTAATGATTGTCGACGTCAAAACTATATAAAATGTATAATATTGTCAAAAGAACAACCCAGAAACATGGTCTGCGTACTGTTTTCATTCTGTTCGTGTGACTTTCTGTAAATTACTGATACATACATACATATATAGCTAAAGAAAAACAAACAAATGAAGAAACCCTATGTATTTGTAAATGATAATATTTTGCGCCAGAGAGCCAACGTTTTGACTGTAATATTGAAGAGAGCGAGTGGAGTTGTGTCAACAAAGGGGTTTAAGAGGATGTTGAATGCTGGCCGAAAACGTTGCTAATGATGATCTAAAGTTGCAGTCTGCAGAACTGTGACTCAACTAAATGCAAGCGAGACGCAAACACAATTCACACCATAATAAAAGCAAACATTAAAGTGTAGTATGTAGCTTAACGTTTAAACAAAAAATAAAAAATACAAATAAATGCAAATAAAATTACAAGAAATGGCTAATTAGCCAACATTAGGGCAAGCATAGCAAGTAGAGCAAGCCCCCAAAACAAACAAAAACCAAACAGACAGACAGACAGCCAAACAGACAGACAAACAGACAACAACACACCACACACAGCTAATTAAAGAAAAAAGAAAAAGAAACACACACACAAACAAACACGTTCATTCAACGACTCTTCAAAAGTTGCTTCACAATATTTCACGTTGCTTTTAAGCGCTATGTAAAAAATTTGTACAAAACAAAAACAAAAGAAGGATTCAATAAAACCAACTAGAAGATAACCCCAAACACAAAAATCTGAATAACTGAATCCATGTAATATTTCTTTTCCGAATTTTTGTGCACCTGTAAAATTTAACTGTTATGTATAATTCTCATTAATTTTAATTGAACTTTTTATGTAAATTGCGTGTAAAAAGATTTATGAAAAACGAAAACAAGACTCACACTTCCACAACCACACACACACACACACACACACACACCCACACATACAAAGCTTGCATTGATCGATGAAGCAAATTAATTAGATATACATATATAGTATATATATACACGGAATGTATTTTGTAAATTGTTTGTTTTAAGCCAATTAACTCATGTACACAAACCACACACACATACACATACAACAACATATAAGCATAAACGCCTGTATTTATATACTATTTTTTTTATTATTTTTTTATTTTTGTTGTGTGGCGTTCGTTGGATAACTAATTTTTGTTTAGCCCCTAAGTTGTAATTTCTGTTTATTTAAATGATTTTTAATGCATTTTGCGAAGTTGATTGATTAATTAACAATACATATAAATATTAAAAAACAACAACAAATTGTAACCACAAGTAACTAAGTATATATCGATATTTCAAGAATAAAACCAAACCGATACTGTTCCAAATTTCAAATTCCACTTTAATTTTTAACAATGCTTGTAAATTGTAATTATTATTTGGTCTGCAATAGTCTTGTTATTTACATGCAACAGTCAATCTTAGCCCACCTTTAAATGTTATGTTAATTTTAATTTTGAAATTCAAGTCGACTTTGTTAAAAATTCTGTTTTGTTTTGCGTGCTGTGGCTCTCAAACTGTGAAGCAGTGCGAGTCTACACTGCGCCGCACTGCTTGCTACAGCAGTTGCCCAACTAGCCTCTCTCTTTGAAACATATTTTTTAAATACGAATATATAAATAAATGATTATTATTTGTATGTACATTTTACATTGACTGCCCGTTGCGCAGTTTGAAATGCACTCAACATAGTGGCTATTAACCCTTAACCCAGTAAGTGTATAAACATTGTTTTAACCCCCGCCCAACCCTGCACTCCATTTCTCAGCACCTGTAAATTGAAGCCTCCGCCATGAGAAGAAAAACAAAAGCAAATAACGCATTGTATGTAAAACTGTAAAAAGTAATGAATACGAACAATTTTGTACATTTTTTATACACATTTTTAGCCTATTTCGCGACGCCTTATTCCAAGAAAACTAAAAAAAAAAACTAATAATGAAAAGCAAAATCTAAAAAAAGAAACTCGAAAACGAATTTAGACTTTTTTGTCGGTTTCGCCGAAGAAAATAAAAACGATTTGTGAGAAAGCAAAATAAAAAACAAAACGAACACGAAACGAAAAATTGTAAATTTGATTAAGCGCATATTTTTGTAAACTCGTAAAATTTCGTTGTCGTGCTATTAGCGTCGTCGTCGTCGTCGTCATTGTTGTTGTCGTGTTTTGTAAATAATCAGAACATATGTAATATTTTTATTTTATATTATTTTGTTGTACAAATTGCCCTCCTCCCTCCACCCTCCACCCCACACTCTATACAAAACTGAGCGCATTTCAAGCATCGCGCCAGCAGCTTATTTTTGGTATTAAACAGATATAAATATATGTATATGTATTGTTTTGGTATTTCCTTTGGTATTTGTTTAGTTGTTAAATTACATAACTAACTGCCTGTCTGTAGAGCGCAATGCACTGATAATTTTAATTTTTATTAAATTATAAATCATAAAGAAAAAACTTTGTATTTAACGATTCTCAAGAGCTCTACAATTGCGACTAGAAATGCTTTGTAGTTGAGTGGAAGATTAGAAAAGAATAGCAGGCCTATGCGCCTAAATTATTACACCAACACACACACACACACACACATACACAAACCAATACACACACACACGTACGTAAACATAAATTTGTTAGGTGTAGTTATTAGTTGTAAGCGGAACTTAAATCTAATATTAAAAGCAGATATGTACTAAACTTAAATTGTATGTGAAGCAACGTTTTTAAATACATATATACATATATATATATATATATATAGAGACACACAAACACACCCGCATGCATGTATATGTATATGCATATGTATATGTAAATTGTACACGTCAAGCATGCATATATTGTATCTAAAGCGAGGTCTCTTCGAGCTGCACAGCCGGCCTAGAAATAGAAGGTATATATGCATATATACTTATAAATAAAGCTGTAGCTGGCGCCTATAATGGCGTTTTGGTAGTTTTTACAATAAACATTTTTGCACGCCCATGTAAAACACTTAAAACGTAAAACTATAATTAAAGCAAACCCCAATTGTAAACAATGTAACGCCTAAACTTAAACCTTAAACAGAAGAAATAAACTGCATGTAAACGTGTGAAACATTTTTGTAGCATAATAAATCGAATAAAATAAAACAATAGCCAACAAATTGTAAGAGAAGTTTTTTGTAAATCGCAAGGCTTAAGCGAAACGTGCAACATTTTAAACGTTGCCAAAAAAACAAAAAAAAAAAACGGCTAAATAAAAACAAAAAGCAAGTAAATTGTACATTTTCTTTGCCAATTGATTTGTAAAAAAAAACACAAAATATACACACAGCTACACATAAAAATTTAAATGCTATTCAAAACTATTTATAGTTATTTATAACTACACAAGTTTTTTACAGCAGAAGTTTGTAAAATTTTTTGAAAAAATTTTAAGCTAAGCATACTAATGAAATATTTGAAAATGAAATTTGTAATTTGTTGTAAAGAGATGCAGAATTCTAAGCGAGCGAGACAAGCAAAAGGCTAGAGCAGACTTCAAGTAAACACTATATTATAAATTATAAATATATAAATATATATACATACGCAGTTATAAACGGATAATGAAATTATATTTTTTAATCCCACACACACACACACACACGCACATACAAACAAACATTACACACTCACCTACACATACACAGGCGACCCTTAGTTTTGTAAAGAGCGCGCAATTGGCACAACGTAAGAATTAAATTGACGCATTTTATTTAAAAGGCAAAACAACTTTATGCATTAACTTCTAATTTTAAAAATACAACTCTTATGTTTATTATACAAAACTATATTTAATGCTAATTTCTTTGTGAAACAAATAATAAAAAAAAGTTTATTATGTAGAAGAAAAAACAATGAGGCTGTTATGTTTTACTTCCACAAATTGGAAACATACAAACAAATTGACGTGCAAACAGGCATACCGACAAACAAAACACGAAAACAGATCTATAAATAGGCAGACCACTAGATCTACAAACAAACAAACAGACATTCAAACCGACATTCAAACAGACACACACACAGGCATACCAACAGACAAACATTTAAATATACACACATACTTGAATCTTGACGTTTTTTCAGTTTCAAATAAATTACCAATTGGCTTCAAACGGAAGGCTGCGATGACAACAACTAACACAACAACAAGAAGGAGTAGAACAAAACTAAAATCAAAATTGATATTAAAACGGCAAGCAACCAAATTTTCATAAAGTATACACATCATATATATACATACTATATATAGATATACCCAAGCCCGATTCCCCCAAAATTGCAGCAAAGAAGAATATTGAAAGAAAGAAAGTTTGTGGCGGTATTTTATGGCCCGACATTTTATATAAGTGCATTTTTACATATATATATATATAAATATATATATCGACGATAATGATGAAGCAGGTGCTGATATTAATGATCAGGCTAGCTGTCAAATATAATATAAAAAAACAAAAAACAAAACGTTTTATAAGAGCCACACTAAGTCAACGGACATATTTTTTTATATGTATGTAAGCCATGGCAAGCAAAACTTTTACCAGGCCGTAAATTTTTAAAAGCTAAAAGAAAAAACAACCAATACCCGTACATACTATCAAGTATCATCATACCAACTAAAGTCCCAAATTATTGTAGTAAGCATAGCCACACAACACAGTACTTCGAGTAGTAGAATTTTTCCCCAAAAACATGTAGAAATGTATAACAATTTAGATTTTTACTTGATATTACCAATTGTGTAGAAACAAACTTCGTAATAGCTAAAAAAAAGAAGCATATAATAATAAAAGTAACAAGGAAAGGAAGGACTAGCAACTGCAAAATATATACATAGATCTATATATAAATGTATATAGCATATAACCAGACAACGTCACAACATATTGTCAACAGTTTTTTTTTATGTTAGCTAAAAAACAAAAACACAATTAAAAGAAAGCTAAAAGCTAAAATTTCTCTGTTCAGTTGAGTTCTGATTTATGATTAATTGGCAATATTTTCCCACTAAACCAAACTAAACTGTATAAAGTTGAGGCACTCAAGACCAATACCCGGCATTGCATTAAACAAAAACAAACCAAAAATAAAACATACATATATAAAAACAATTTCCCGCGTTATGCCACACAATTAACAGCAAACAAGAAACTTGTCTTCAATTTAAAAAATAAAATAAAATAAAATACAAAGAATGCACAGAACATTGCGAATAATAAAGAAATTGAATTCTTAGCTACACGTATGAGCATATAAAAGTGGAAATAACTAAACATAATAACAAATTGTAAAACTAAATACTTCTACATACATTTAATAAAAAAAACAAAAACAAAAATTAACAATAAATCGAATGTATACAATACAACATGGTATGCTTGTAGGGGTCGACTTTTTAGTAGCGTCCATTTTTCAAATGGCGGAGCAACACTCTGAAAATGGCGAGCAATACTGTTAAAATGGCAAAGCAGCACTGTTAGGGTGCGAAACAGCACTGTTAAAATGACAAAGCAGCACTGTTAGGTAGAAACGTCAACTGTTAAGCCACACTGTTAAGACGCCAAGCGAGTAACAGCGAAAACGCAGCATACTTTCTGGGGCAGAATTTAAGAGCCATCCACTGTTAAGCTGCCAGCCGAACTACAACAAAAGCGCAGCCTGCTTTCAGCGGCCATATTAAGTGCCATAACTAACAATTGTTTGCTTGCTGCTATTCTTTGATTGCCTGTTACCCGAGCTAGGGGTCTAGTGGGACAGAACCAGATTGGACTGGTTTGTAATAATGGCATTTCTTATGCTCCCCCCAATAAACAGATTATATGCAGATCATTAGGAAGATATTAATTTTTTTTGCGCTTATATGCTACAAAACGTAAACGAGTATTTTACAATTTAAATAAGGAATCCTATGCTTACATAAATTTAGAATACACGATTAATTCTCGTAGAACTGCTCGGTAGGAACATTCTTCAGCAATTGATTGGCCAGTTTGCCAAACTCGCTCGCCAGTTTCTTCTGGAGCTGTGCCTGCATAGCCTCCAGCACCACCATCGAATTCTCGCGCAGGAACAGATTTGTGGCCTCGACTGCAAGTGGAATTCAATGTGAGTATATAACTCAGATAATACTGCTTGACATATAGCCAGCAATCGATGACTTACGCAATACACGGTTGTTGTTGAAGGCGCGCGAAATGCTCATCTCGACCTTTTTCACATCCAGCACCAGACTGAGGGAGTCAATGTGCAAATAGGTGCCGGGGCCATTCTTGCCGGGATGTGTCGATACCTTGCCCGTCAGATCGGCCGTAACCTCCTCGAACATGGCATGGAAATCGCCGCCACCAGAGGCGGGTATAATCAGCAGCACACCCGAGCTCGTATACTTGGCCTCGATCTTCAGTTTTGGCATTATAATGCGCGCCTTGAAGGGCTCACCGTTCTCGCTCAGTGTCATGGACTTCACCTGGAAATTGCTGGCGCCAAAAGCTTCAATATTCTTCAGTGTTATTTTATAGCCCTGCGGACCATCCGTAAGCTGCAATGCCAGCGAGTCCATTTTGAAAGGCTCCACGGAGTTCAGCTGCGAAGAGAATGAAATGCGTTATTAATTACACAATCGGATTAAGTTAATTGCTTAAAATTGTTTAAACTTGTAAGCTAACAATGGTAAGTATTTAAATTTTTTGAAAAAAGATCTGCATTGCAAAACTTTACAGCGCTGGCTATTTCGAAGGATTTTCAGATAAATGATTCTTCCTGGATAAAGAAGACTGACTGAAGAATGATATGTTGTATGTGTGTTTTGAGCTCGATTTGAATAACCTTAAATCAATGTTTATTCATGAGTAAAGGAGTTACAACAATCATTTAAAGGACATTTCTTGACTGGCTTCCGGTTTTCTAATTTTTAGTAATTGGCGTCTTAATTGTTAGTTGTAATATTTTAGTGGCCATTTTAAACTTTTTTTTCAAAAGTTCTAAAATGTTAATACTTTATCTGTTGATCTGAAAGTTTAGAAACGCTGAACCGTTATATAACTTTTAATGAAAAACATTATTTGAAAATGTAAATAATACATACACACACAAAGAATCTTTCTAGCTCTGGGTTATTCACTTAATCGATAATCGACCAGCTTATTAACAGGCAAAATTTAATTAAAAGTCGATCATCTTTATCAACACATAATGTGCATAAGGTTTGAAACCAATCGGAAATTGTTATCCAAAAGTATGATTATTACATGCAAAGACACTAATTTATTCGGAATAAGCGGCCATAATTTGGCACTTATCGAAGACTTCTTATACATAGCCCGGCACCCACTTATTTATCTAATATCTGGTATGGCATAGTATGTATATTATTTTCAGTGTACGTTGTTTTTCTTATTATTTGAAATTTGTGGCTGTCGTTAATTTGGTTTTGTCTGAGGTTGTAAAAAATTGCATTCGGCGTCGCGCGATTTCCGCACAATTTTCCATTGTGGACATTTCGAGAGCTCGTTTTGGTAAAAGCCAACGAAGCCAACAACGACGACAAAAACAAAAATAACAACAATAACAACAGAGACAATAAGAGGAAAACAAAACAAACAGCTGCACTCATCGCCCGGGGGTATTACGCAATTCATGGATCCATCGCTAGCCCACTGCCTTAGTGAGACTACTTTTTTCTTTCACTTTTTCGATTCGCAACTCGCTCGCAACGCTTTTGAGCGAAGCAAATACACATTTTATTTGCTCACAAAAAAGAGACTTTTCAACCAGACACTTTAAAATTGCAAGTGTAAAGGTCAGCAAGTGCTAAAAGCAAAGGTAAACAGTCGTACAAATAGTCGGGGTGTCAGCTCACCTGTATTTCGGGTATGCCTTTGGCCAGATAGGGCTTCAGATGCTCCAGAGACTTCATGAAGCATTCCACGAGCTTGGGATCATCGCGACGACATTGTCGGATATATTCGGCTGTGAAGTAAATAAGTAAAAGAGCGCATTTAATTGACTGCGATAAACGAATCTAAAATCCATACGCTTTACGACTCAGACAAATGAGACGCTGAAGCTGAACGAGAAATCGAAATTATGTTAATTGTTGTAAAGTTCAACGACTTGAAAGACAACAACAAGCATTTGCCACAGCAGTCGCACAGAGGTATGACAACTTTTTCGATCACGACTCAGCCCCGACCTTGAGGGAAGCACAAGGTCGGGCGCTTACAGTTGCAATGCCGGCAGGGTCCAAGAACTGGACGCCGCCACCATTACCTTCACATATTTCGACAATTCTGTGCGATGCATGACTAACATAAATTCTTGCCATTGTTATTAAGATCGCTTCACAGTCCATTATATAACAAAGCACACATACACAGATCTATATACATACGAGTGTGTACAAGTATGTGTGTATCTTTCCATTAGCATCATCAAAATATCATTAGAGCTGATGCATTTAAGCAGCAGCAACAACAACAACAGCCACAATAACAATGACAACAACAAATTCAAGTTGAAGGTCGCCTTCAACGGCAAGAAACTAAACCAAAAAAATGAAGAAGAAAAAAGAAACAACGACTCATTATATATGGATTTGGTTTATAATCTGCATTTTTCGATCTGCTCCATTCCCGCCAGTACTCGATAGATGCGGAAGAGCCTCAGGCTCTCGAATATTGATTTCATTTGCAGTGTCGCTCCATAAACTGTGTCGCCTCAACAAATTAACGCATTTGCATTGATAGTTTTGGAGAAATTTGCATAAAACTTATGCATCTAATTAGCAGACGACGAAAAACAGACGCTTGCGAATGCATTCGGAATGGTGGCTTTTAGTTTAAAAATCCAATTAGTTGCCTGAGCGGATCAATCGTAAATTTGCAATGCACGGTAAGTTTAGTTCTTGAACCGAGCTCAGGTGAATTGTACTTTGCCTGCACATGACATCCATCTAATTAGACCGGACCTCCCCCCCCCACAACTGTTAATTGTTATAGCAAGTTGCTAATTATCGGGTGTGTAGGAATTGATTTTAATCATAGCCCACAAAGAGTACAGTTGAGGTAGTCGGAATGCACTTTATTTCCATCAAAACAACAAATGTGTTGACTGTTTCGAAACCTGATATAATAACGTCTAATACCTTAGACAAACTTCATTACTAATCTGGGACTAAAGTACAAATTTGTTCATAAACATCATTAATTAAGCATATTTATTATAAAAAAAAAAAACAACCAATGATGAGCAATAACTAAGAAAAATTGCAATTAGCGTAAAATTTAGATAACTATCTAAAAAATATAGCTGGATAGCGCAACTAATCTATGAAACCAGAATTTAAATGAACACGTAACAAAGAAAGATATATTCTTAGACCGATGAATCCTGAGGCAGCATTTTTTATTCAAGAATGCCAATAAGATTTAATAGTTTTTTCCCCTCAAACTTGTTAACGAAATTACGCTTAATTGGAAGTATCTAGATTAAAGATAAGAGCTTTTCTTTTTAATTGTTAACGAAAACGTAAACTCTATTCGAGCAAAGAAAACAAATTTCATCCATCCCCGTCACGCTTAATAGGAAGTTCTTGAATTATAGATAGTTGAGGATTTTGGATTAATTTATTGAAAACATTATTGCATTCTAACTTGCAATGAAATTATAGACGCTGTTCACCCACTTGGACAAAATAATGAAATCAAATTGAAATTAAATATAACTTATAGAATAGAAGGACTTTTCCAAGAAACTCATTTGAATGACAGTATTAATAGATTTTCAATTATTAAAGGAAACAACTGGACAACGACCATATATTATATATATAGTATAACTAAGCTTTGTATCAGCTGATAGATCGGAATGCATTTTGTGCCTCTTTTTATGAGCCTTTTAGTCCAGCTTTTATTTCAAATGGATGGACTCTAACATACTTGTACTTATAGCTGCCATAGGAATAGTCGAAGCACCTCAAAAATATGTTTATTATTACACAACGTTCATTAGTTAGTGTGTAATGATAAATATGTAGATTATACGAGATGTAATAATTTAAGCATTACTTTCTATTATGAATATTCTTTGTTCAATCGTTTCAAAGCTAAGCCGTTTTCATTACTGTTTTGTTGTCAAAATTGTATTGGAATAAACACTTATCCCTATCATCATTCAGCTGTTCAAGTATTAGAATAATATTAACAAAGATAATTCCCATTCCATCTTATTTAGCAGTGTGTCGTCTCATTTCAAATATCAACTGCGGATATTGACACTATCTGCTTAAATAGAGGAAGCTTAGATTTCTGCAATTGTTTACTCGCCACAGCAATTAATTAAATATTGAATAACATTTAAGCTTAGGGTTCTTTTACACTTACGCGCCGCGGCCTGTGCGATCAATGCCGTTTGCATGAGAGCGACAAAGCAAAAGACTTTAAACATTTTGCTTTTGTTGGAAATTTTCGGGTAAACAATTTGGTTCAAAAATCGATTCCAAATGATCGCCAATTGAGTATCACCTTTTGTATTAAAATTAACACTTAATACACAGCAACAACAACAATGATTGCTTCCGCTTGCCGCACGAATAAAAACTTTTCCGTACGTCTAACAACACGAAACCGAGAACGAAAACTGCGAACGAGTTGCACGGATGGCGCAGATTTAAAGCGCGGCTTGAGGCTTCGTATCTCGACGCCGACGTCAGCGCTAGCAGCAGCAGCGACTATAGGCTAGACAGGTGACTAAACCACCGAACCACCGACTGCCTTAAGTGACTGACAGTCCAAAAGTCTCGGAGTCTCAGTCTCTGATAGTTTCGGGGCTCAGCACTTCTGTTTACTTTTGTGAGCTCGCTTTGTTTTCGGTGTCCCAAAAAACATAATTAAGCCTTTAAACTTTTGCAATGGACTGTAAATTATTGCTACGCCGCTAACTTGTAGAATTAAACGTTAATTTCTTGGCTTTACGATGCGCATAAAAGCGGCAAAAGGTGCACAATTACTCGCAAGTTTTAATGTTTTAGCCAAAGCACTCATATGCGCAAGTTCTTGACTGGCCGCTCTTCAGAATTTTGGAGGCCTTGTGAGTTCTTTCTGCTTTTGGTACTATTTTTAAAAGTATTCCCAATAAGGTCAAGTTTTAAGCAACTATTCGAAATACATACTTCGAGATTTTTTAGTTTGTAACGTTGTCAATTCTCAATTCTGGCTGGCTTGAGAGAGTTCCTAACTCAAAAAATATTTGTTGATTTTATTTACAATCGAAGAACTATGAAATACACAAATGTTCTTCAAATATTGGCGTTTTAGATAAAGTTTCAAGATGTGTTCTCGAATGGTGCCAGCTTATAGTTATAACAAAAGCTAAATAGTACGTATAATAAATGTTTCCATTTTATAAGGTTGATGGTATTCTACAAAAATATCAATTTCAAAATTATTAAATTATTTTAGTTCTTAAAAACTCCGACAATTTGTATTTATTTTACAATATCACTTTAAAAATATTGGTTGCACAATGATTATTAAATGACCTAATACTAATTATGCCTTTAATTAGATTACAATTTTAAATAAATAACTTATGTATTTCACATAAGCTTGAACTAAAAGAATATTAGATATATTACACAAAAAGTTGCTGCTTTCGATTTTTTAAAGAAATTCTTCTTTATATTTTGAGAAAATAATTTTGAAAATTCGTTTATCGCCGTTGGAAACAATTTGCCTTAATTTGAAATTATGCGAGATTAATTTTATTACAAAGAAACAAATTGTTTTTGTTATCGTAGTTAAATATCGGCAGTTTGTTGTAAGCAATTGGTTTGCAACTCTACTTTTTTGAATATGAGTATTTAAATTTTATCTTGATTTGTCCTCCACAGATTGGAGATTCCCCTTCTTTTTCCTCAATTAATCTAATTCCCTCTTCTAGTTACTTTCTATTACGCATTTGGCTTCAGGAAGAGGAGGCTTTTTTATTTAACATTTTTCATTTTAAGTTGGAATTAGTTTTGTTACACTGATTTTCCATTGACTTTATTAAATGATATAAAAATGCAATTAATATTATTCATAGATCTCAATTCGATTTCATGCTGCACCATTTTCTGCATTATATATATAACTAGACATATTGACGTGTAGGAACCTTGTAAAAAGTTGTCCCTTAACCTTCTCCCAAACAGGTGTTCGATCATTCCCTAGTCGAGCCACAATCGCAAAGAGGCGTCAGACCCAGCACCACCATTATTTTGTTTCGACCACAAAAGCACGCGAGTTCGGCTCTCCTCAGGGCCAGTTGGGGTTCAGTCTCGTGCGGTGCGTCGCCGTTTCTGTGCCAAAGTCATCATCAGGTAGTTAAGATTTTGACGGCATTGTTTTGGCTGTGAATCAATAGCCACAGCAAATATTATTTAGCTTCTATTTCAGCTTTTATTCGCGACCACATAAAAAACATAATTAGCCGCTGAAATTAATTGGTTGATAAATTAATTGACATGCTTGCTGAGCATTGCGAAATATTACAAAAACCTTTGAGATAATAATGGATTCTCTAACGGAGCTTCAAATATATATTTATGAGTGTGTTTCTCATCAACCACTCGTAATTTGAATTTGATTCAAAGATGACTTGAAAAACCAGTAGGAGTGCTTCGAGGTTTTTAACTTCCAATTCAAAATTATATCCATTATTATTGCCCAATTTTAAAGTAAAATGTTTGTTCTGAGACCACAATTTTACTTTACTTTATGAATGACTGTTCAGTTTTTGAAGTATTTTTGACCAGTTTCAATCATTAATAATGATTAATAGGAGTTTAAAGCCAATATTGATAGCAAGACTTGTTAATATTTTCGCCTTTTTATGAGCAGAAAGCTTCTTTTCTTTCTTAAGGCAGTCGCAATATGTATTTAATTATAATTAGGGCCATCATTGCTTAAAATTGCTATGCAATTTCAATTTTAATGCTTTTGAATTGTTTTCGTTAGTCAGACAAATAGTTCCATTTTAAAAATAAGCAAAGCATTTTCTTTTATATAAATAGAACGAAAGTAGTACGAATCGTTAGTGATTACCTAAATTTGACAAATCGGTGTGCAAATTATTTGCACACCATTTAATCATAAGGAACGATCTGTGGATGTTTTGATTCAAAAAGCTATTGCCTTGATAATCTCTAGTGGCCATCTATAGATCACCATAATTTATATTAATGGCTTAAAAACTGGAAATCTTTAAAAACGAATTTCATTTCCAACTTCCCACTTTACCTTTTTGGTTTTGTGACTTTTTGAATTTTGAATTGCCATAATTGGTTTATTTAAATGGAGAACAGTAGTTGGAATAAAAATACTTTCGAGTTGGGTCCTTTGGCAATTCGGTGAAATCGAGTGAAGAAATGGCTAAACATATAAACCAGTACTCGAATTATAGCATTTACTCAAGAAATCACTCGTAGAATAAATTTTCAAAGGATATACACACAAGTACATACTTGTATAAATGATATCAGCCTCAGTCAGTTGCTATCATATGGAACTATTGATCGTATTAACTATTGAATGACTATTAGAACTATTAGAATGACCCACTAGCGGTCAATCGTGTAATGCCATATTCCTTACTCGTGTTACAACATTTTCTACATAAAAACGTTAATTGCTTTTTATTATTTAATATATATTTACACACGTGCCGGATAATTAAACTGACTAAGCACATTCAACAGTTCATCCAGAGAAAATGGCGCAATTATCGATCAAAATCTATTATGTACTATATCTATCTACAAGTATAATATAAATACTAGCCGACTTTGCTAAATCACTCGACTAGGCCCAATTGCCGCTTATTATGGCGCACTGGGCGCTGAATGTGAGTGTGTCAAAGATCGGCTGAATATTTTATTGCGGCATTATTTATGGTTGAGTAAATAACAATATTTAATATCTTTCGAATTGTTGCATAAGGGGGGCGTTTGCCAATAAGATATGCATGATTTTGCGAATGCACTGCGCAAAAACAGAAATATTAGAAAGTCATTAAACGGCGGAAAACGATGTAAATCACAAAGGGCCATTAGAATTTCAGCAATAATCGCTTCGAGATTAGCTCGGCAATGTCGTGTCATGAGGCGAATCGATTTAGGTAATTTAAAATTACTTTCCAGCAAGTTTTAAGTGTACAGTAGCATTAGTAGACCAAGAGGCGAATACTAGTACCAGACAGAGACAGCCAGTACAGTTTTGAATTGAAATTATACATAGAGAGAAAGTATTTGTATGCCCTTCACTGAAAGGTGTAAGATGGAATATTATTGGTACATATTTGATTAGTATGAACTAAATATGAATATCAATTCAGACTAACTTACTCGGCAAATTAAAAGTTGATTAATGAATACCTAATTTAATCTTAATGCCCCTCTTCATCGCGCCACTTTTATTTGGAATTCATAAAATTGAGGGAAAAAACCCCATCGCTGGGCCAAAGATCTGCTGAAACCACAAGAGAGAATTCACGGCGATGCTCTTAAACTATTTACAAAAGTGAGCTCCGAGCACGTACCACACACAAATGCTTGTCACAAAAGCCTGTCGATTCTACAGAGCTTGTTGACACGACCGGCACACACGACAAATGGGAGGAATTGGTAGTGTAGACGAGTACGAGATAGTCGAACAATGTACAATACTTGTATATAGTAAGGCACACACAAATGATGACAATGATGAGAAATGTGTGTGCGACAAGACTTGGGCAACGTACAGGAAAACTTAGTTAGGCTTTTTGTTTAAAGTTGTTTTGTTGGCCGTTGGTTCTCTATTCCGTACTTATTGTTCTTCGAATAATTAGTTAGCTTTTGTTATTATTGAGCAAGGTTTAAGTGCTTGCGGTATATATATTCATACTATAAGTATGTATGTATAAGCATATTTAGGTATGGCCATCAGAGTTGTTTCTGGTATTCCCAGAACTTGGCAGGCAAATGCGCAATTCGTTAACGTTCTGGCCAAAGCCATAATTCACAAACACAGACCGTCTAATTGCTGTAACGACAAACCACAGTACTTAAAAGTGCAAAGATTCGCTTGGATAAATAATTAGAAAGATAATTATACAGAATGCCGAAAATAAAGCAGAACTCGTACAACTGGCAAAACTTTATATTTAAGCCATAAATTTGTGGTTAGCAAACACGTTATGCGTTCTTCTTCCTGATAATCAACAGACTAAAATTCTAGTTGACATTTAATTATCACATCGAGCCATAGTTTCACTTTCAACCCGACTTGCTGGAACCTGTTTCTCCCTCCAGATTTGCGCATGGCTCTCGACTCCGGGCTGGGTTAGTGGCACAGGCATTGAAAGCGCCACACAGTTCACGATCAGCACAATTAAGCTGAACGATGTCCAAATATGTGCCATAAAGATCTGCCGCCGATGACGATGACGACGACGACTCAGAACCAGAATACAGGCTCAGCCTCTCGCTTTTGATAATAAAAACAACATAAACCTGCTGACCCAATCAATGCAGGCACTTAATTATAAATATGCACAGGCAAGGTCAGCATCAGCCAGTCAGTCACTCAGTTCCTCAATCAGCCAAGCTATAACGAGCCTGTAAGCCGAGGAACAGGTGTGGAAGCCGAAGCCTGCGCCAATCACCTCGACCTTGACTCAGGCACCCAGGCAATGAGGCAGGAGGCATAAAAAAGTGTAAATAAAAAATTAAGAAAACTTGCAAGGCTTAGCTGTTGGGGGGTTTGCGAAAGAAATCAGTTATAATGTGACTCTCATTCCACAGCAACTTTTCACATTTAACCTACAAAAACCTAACCTACCTCATAAACTACATATAGTTGAAATTATTTTCAGTAAATTTAATTTACTATTATCTTAATATGACCTCTTTTCGATCATGGCTCTCATGATCATGGCTTTATGACGTAAAAGCCTCACAAACCAAATTAATCATATCTAATTAATTTATCAAATTAATACCTATGACGTTTGCGATTAGAGAATGTAAAAAAATATATATACTTGTATATCTCTGACACGATGGGGAAAGCTCAGCCTAAAAGTATATATATTGTTTAATATACGCAAGAATAAAAATTGAAGATCCCTGCATTCTGAACTGACGAACAGAATTTTGGTAAATTTTAGCGTCGAAATCTGAAATTAGAATATAAAAAAGGACCTTCATCCATACAATTACCCTTCTTATAAAAGAAAATTTGTTTAATTAGTTTAATTTTCATTTACTCTTAAATGCTCGGCTTTACTGAAAAACAATACCAGATTGAGAGTGTATTTTTTTTATTTATATACAATTTATTTTAAATTCCAATTTTGTTTATGTTTGCAGTAATTATATTAGAAAATAATATTATTAAGCCTATTTCGAACTATTTGCTAAGTTTCCTAAGCAATATTAATAATATTAATATTATTTGAAATGCACTTCTCCCCACTTCGCTTGTCAGGAATGGTGAAAATTGTGGTGAGTTTCAAAGATTTGTTTAAAGCCCATCCTCAAAGTATGCAATAAAATTGTGTCTTATTAGTTTATTTATAAATTTGTAAATCAATGAAATCAATGTTTACGTTTGAAATGCCACACACGTTTCCTTGAATTGTGGCGTGAATTGCAAAGTTCAATAAATTTCTGTTTGATTTCGATTCTTAAAGTTGATGGGCATAAAGTACATATAGTATACGCAGAAACATGCAGCACATTTGCATGCATTTTGTTATCCATTGTTGGGTGTCGAACAATTGGGCCTTTGATGAGAGACCATACAGACACAGATACATTAGAGCCATATTACAAAGAACATTTGCAGTTCATTGAACAGAAACCAAGTCTGCTATAATTGAGTTCTAATTGTATTGATTTTAGTTTCGCCTTCAAAAACCTAAAGTTACTTCTTACAGTCCTTTAAATACTTCTTTAAGCCATAACATTGACCTTTAGGCACAGCCAATTATTCAAGCTGTGTCGAGTTGACGCCATTATTTAGGCCAAGTCCTGCAAGCGACATTACAGAGAAAGGACACGCAAACACTTTATGCAAATGTTGAACAGTACACAGCCGTTTGGCACTCAAAATAGTTTATACCGTAATAGCAAGTGAACTTAAGTATGTATTGAAAATAGTAACTAACAATCGTTCAAGCATTTATTGTTAATGAAATGTGAATATATATCAATAATTGAACCCTTTTCGAAAGTCATAATAGGTTTCTTTAATATGATATTATAGGAAGATATGATCGGCTTAACTAAATTTTACAAGTTTGGAGTAAACTTTGTTTTTATGATATTCAAAAATATCCACAAATGAGACTTTTTTGAATCAGACTAAATTTGTTTATTTTGGAATTTAATTAAATAACATTGGCATATATTTATCGATATGCACCAAATTTGAAATAATTATTTTAAATACCCTCATTTTTTTAATAATATTCATAATATTCGATATATATTAAAATATCGATCCCTTCTAGATCATGCAAAGCTTCTGCTTTGAGATTAATATTTATTCTTTTTAAAACAAATATCAAATGCAACAAAGGTCGTATTTATTAGTCTTTTATTTTTTTTATCGACAAACAGAGCTGTCGATGTGAAAAAAAATCAAAACAATACATAGCTTATACTAGATAAAAGTAAAGAAGAACAAAGCCTATAGAAATAACCAAAACAATAATATTAATCTCGTATCCACTCATAACTCATCACATATCCAAAGAATCAAGAGAGAACACGCAATTATTAATACTAGTTAATTATATTTTCTAAGATAAATGAAAATTTGGTTGGTATTTATTTTTTATAATATTTCGTACTAACAATTTGGCAAATTCTAGCAAATGAAGATAAAATCATAAATCGCTCGTTGATAAAAGTGATTATATTTATTTATATTTATTTGGACAATTGCTAAAGCTCATAACTACATTTCGATTATATTTAAAAACACATCTAGACAAAAATAAATGAGCAGTGTGTTTGACAAAATGAATTTATTTAAGTAAAATAAGAGTAAGTAGTAGTTAGAGATAAACTCGTTTGTTTAGAAGATAATAGTATATTAAAGCATGAAACATATTTTAATTGAAAAGAATATGATGCCCTAAATCTTGGCGATTACTCACAGCGGTTTCTCTTTCATTGCTCGCTTATCAATACGCCACCACAAGCCGCACCGGAAGCGGCATCTTCCACAACTGCTGATACTCTTAATGATGATCCCATGAGTGTGTATGGGAAGAGGGTTGATGGAGGAGGGAGGAGGCAGGGCGTGGCTAAAATTGCATCGCTCATTATGTTAATGCCAGATAATGAGTGGGGCTTGAGCTGTAGCTGGAAAGTCAAAGACCGCTAAGCGCACGGCATGAACTTAACCTTGTAGCCTTAACTAGCCTCCGGATGCCTGCGCCTCCGTTTTGTGGGTGGGTGTGGTCGTAGGGTCTGTGCTCGCATCGACATGCATTTCTTTTGTTCGTGCCCTGTTGTTGTTTGGTTGTTTTGACTGCACTCTGCTCGCTTATTTCACACTTTGCTTTAAGCTTTCCTTTGCCTGGCATGATGGCATTTCTTCTTCTTTGGGCCGAACACGACGCAACTTTTTGGTTAAAACGCAGTGGTCCAACGCAATGTTGGCTCATTCCTCGCTGAAGTCGCGTGAAAGTTGGACGTACGAGTACAAGACCGGACCGGCAGACAGTCCGAAAGAAAGTCAAGAAAGCACTGTGTGTTTTATTCTTTGCGCACCAGAACAAATAAAGACAACAACAACAACAACAACAAAAAAGTAAGCAGCTCATTGCCTTGCTCTCTGGGCTGGTGCCGTTGTTGACCCAGTTAGCAAACAAATGCCAAGAATTATGTGCTCAAAGTGAAATTTTTCAATCGCGTGCGTTTGTGTCGCGTCTACTCGTGTTGGTGTTGGTGTAGAATTCTTCAACAGTTTTCGCTTTCACTCGTAAAATATTGAAATATTGTACAACGAGCGTCATTCAAGTGAACGAAGAGCAAACTAACAAATATAAAAAATACAAAAAATTAACATATGCGAACGTGCTAATAAATTACGAAACTATTTGCCACTGACGTCGACGTCGTCTAATCGACCATTTATACTTTTACTTTCAAAGCAGACGACCCAACTCAGCCGCTATGTGCAACAAATTCGCCATCGTCTTAGTTTTGTCAACTGTGGGCGCCATTTGGGCCCAACAACAACAACGTAAGTGAACTGCCAAAATCGAAAACACAAATAATATTGCCCGCTTTCTATGAATTGCGCAAATCAACAACCGGACATGCACTTTCTAGCAGCAGGCAATTAGCCTTTAAGGGCCTACCAAGCCCTCTGCGAACCACAAGCCATTTGGCCATCAAATGGCGGATCACGTCTGCCTCAAACGTGGCTTAAGTGGCGCTCTCTTTGGCTTAATTGCCGGAGGACGTGACTCGCAACAGCCGCTCAAACTTTATGACTGTAGAATTACATAAAAGCTAAAAATAAAGAACTTTACAACTTACTATTCCGGGAAGCTATCTGAACATCTCTCCAGTTTTTATTTTTCAGCCCTCCTTTCAGCTCATAATTTAGAATTAAAGCCTTGAACTGCGCGAACTTGCTTGATTTTGCAATTAAAAGCAATTATTTGGCAACACATTATTCTTTCTGCTGATAAGCTAAACAAATAGTAATGGCTGCCAACTTTGAAATACTTGTATTTACAGATGATCGTGGCTCTCAAATATATCCACCCGCCACAGAATTTGAACTCAAGTACATGTTTGCTATTGCCAGCGATTTTCAAGCCAACATTTCAATAACTAATTAAAATAAAAGACTTTTATAGACTTAGTAACACAGTTTGTGTCTTTAGGGGATAAGATTATAATTTTCTTTATTTATTATTTATTCTATTAAACCACGATTAAAATTGCCAAAATTTCTGATATTTTAAGAAGAATTAGAAAATTGATTTCTAAAAAGTTTTCGTAGCAGAAACATTAAAATTTTTGTTTGTTATATTTTTGTGAAATTCGGCAAATTTTGTTGTCTGCCTATACCTTTAGTCGACCAATATAAAATGACCAATTAAATCCAAGCAGGAAATATTTACCTAAATGGGGAAAAATGGCCATTCGACTAGCCAAGAGTGTGGGATAAAATTAAATACAATATAAAAATCAAAAATTAATCATTCATTTCGTCTCACAGAAAAGTAAGCTTTTTAATGACTTAATTGAAAAATACAAGTAGAAGGAATAATCTCTATACTTGCATATATTAAATAGTCTTATAAGCTAATGGGTAATTTGTCTCACACGATAAGAGCTGGAAAGATAAAAGACACAAGATTTCTTACAAAAGTGATGCATTTAAGAAAATTCGAGCTCTTGAAGTATTAAATACATGCATACTCGGCTTTCTTTATATTGGAGTGGTAGCTCGTCATTTGAATGAAATATACTTGTAGATACGGAATATAGAAAGATTGTTATTATAATTTCATTTTAAAGGTGCCTTTTCCCATTCCAAACAAGTTCATAAAAAGAAACAAAACAAAGTTTGAGTTAATTTTTGACACTCTGACCATTTCCGATTCAATTAAATCGTTCGCTCTAATTGGCCTTTCAGGAAAAGTTGCAGCCAATTGTAAAGGTCGTCAACATACTCCTACCACAATAAACGCCAGCCATTGTTCAAACTATAATTACAACAACAACAACAACAACTTCCCATCACTTTCGTTGCTCAATCGTATAATGAGTATAATGTGAATAATCGCAGATACTCATCGTCGAAGCATGCTGCACATGCACATGAATTGTCTATCCGTTGTTGCGATCTCGAGAGGTTGCCTTCAAGCTGCTGCTGTTGCTTTTGTTATTGTTCAGATTGTTCAGGTTTAAGGCATAGCTCGTGAACTTGAACTGTGCGCACGCATCGAGCGCAGCCATTAATGCCAACAACTTCAGTTTTTCAGCAATAAACAAAAAACAAGTTGTGGGAACAGAAGACAAAATAGTATAGTACATGTAGTTGGCTTATTAGAAAGCATTGCTTGCAAAAATGCATTTGTTTACTTAATGAAAATTCAAATGCAACTACAAGACAGAGAGAGAGAGAGAGAGAGAGACTATTAAAATGTCTGACTGTTGAAATTCCTGGAATGCATGGGGGCAATACATACTTGTATACATATCTATTTTATATTGCAATCGATTGTAAGCAATGTATCTGCTCCTCTTACCCATTACAGCCTACTATCTGCAGCAATGTCCCCGAGATGAGAACATAATCAATGAATGTCTACGTGAGTCCGGCAACAAATTGGTGCATTATCTACAAAAGGGTGTGCCCGAATTGGATATCTATGAGGTGACCAGAAAAACAAACTTTTGTCTACAGCATGTCTAGCTGTGGAGTCACATCTAAAGCGACTGATAAATTTCATTCCAATTATACAGATCGAGCCGGTTATCATAGACGAGATTGGCATTGTGCTGGGCAACGGACCAGATGGCTATCGAGCCCTCTTCCGAAACATTCAGGCCTATGGTGTAAGCAACATAACAGTCACCAATGTGCGGTAAGTGAAGCCATAACGAAATTTTACTTCATAATATGATTTAAATCAACATAAATATTCATTCAAAATCCATAAGCTGCAAAGATAGCGAAACAACTGCAGCTCATAAGATACTTAAAAGTTACATTTCGATCGAATTGGTCAGGTGTACATTTATTGAATTCAATTTCAATTATAAGTACAAAGCAACTCAGAAAAGTTTCTTATTTTTACAAATTTAAAAACTAAGGCAAATCAACTGCTACAAATGTGATCGTATTCCGAAACAGAAACCGTCCTAATTAAATACATATATTATGAAGCTTCATTTTTCCAAAAAGTATACATTTTTTTTAATTTATTGCATTTGTTTTATCGACAAACAAAGCATCCAATACAATAGAAAACCTAAACTAAATAAATAAGAATAAAAAGAATATAGAAATTACAAAAATAATAATGTAACTAATAATGTATCCGACCCGGTGGGGGGATTTCATTTGCCAAAGGGCCAGCTACTTGTATGATAAATAAAACGTAATATTTGGTGATCCAGTAGCTTGGTTCGGTCCAGCTTAGCGATATGCAATATCTCAACTTGCCGTAGAAAGTTAATTATTTCATGATAATATTCAAATTTTCCAAACTCCTTCAAGCATTATTATAAATATATATTGTGATTTAATATTTACCTTTCATTTAGTGCTAAATCGTGACAAATTTCCATTTTATAAACATTTTTATACCTGGCTAGCAAAATTGTAAAGTAAATACCAAAACTATGTTTTAATTTCTAATCCCGTTGCAATCAACGGGTGTGTTGTTTTGAAAAGATTTGGAAAAACTAGCTGGAAAAAATGGCTTCACTTTTCATTGTCAACATTTTAAGGCGGATTTCGTTTTTAATAACCAAGCCGAGCCTAATTAATATTTCTCAATATTTTCCGAGGCCCGAAAATTTGAGGCCACTTGCCGTGTATCTCATTTGAAAAGGGACGCATTTCCTCAAACTTTCAACACCTTCCTACGAGTTATTTCTGGGATCTGCCATTGCAAAGAAATCAAAGACAGCAACTATATCTAATTGTATAATTACTCGTATGTACATTCCAAGTAGTATATAGTATGTGATAAATATGGGTCGGCTGTGCTGCAAACCCTCGCAATGCCTATGTGTGCCTAAATAAATATTTTCCAACACCCAGTTCGCATAACTTAGCCAAGTTATTCAGTCAGCTGGCTAGCTGCTGACACTTATGTGGCTGCGGGTGCGCATTTACTTGGCACGCGATTCTATTTCAATTTAATTAAAACAATTTTTTCTATTACGACAAAGTTATTGTGTGTAGCCAGCTACTTAGAATCGCAGATATTAGCCAATGCAGTGTCAATTGTGGTTATTACAAGACCCCCTACCTACCACTTCACACCCCCTCTCCTATCCTTGGGGGAACTGCAAGTTTATAAATCAATGGATTTGCATTGAACATTATTTTTTCGAACAAACATTTACATTTTCTGGTTTTATGTAACGTACTTACCCCAATTATCAATTAATCTAAAAGCAACAAACACAGCCGCGTCTTGTGGCTTTGGTCCACAGTTGGTTGGACTTAGGTGGAAAAACTGATGAGTGGGTTAAAGTTTCTACCAGGAAATTGGGTGGGAGCGCTCTTCTTGGTACCAGATAATTAATTGGGTAATTATCAATTATTGATTAAGCCATTTAAGGAGTAACGCTTACATACTTGTTTGTGGTATATTTATACTTGTAATGAAGTTGATTGCTTCGAGGGAAACGCTATAATCATGAAATTCTTGATTACCAAGGGAGTCCCACTGAGTACATATATTCTTGGTAATATCTGCTCTTGGTAACTGTATGTTCGTGTAACCCCTCAGATGCAATAGCTCAATAGTTTATTGCTGGAAATATTTATGGTTTCCAGTTTCGTATTTCATATAAATTGCAATATAGTAAGACCTCCCCCCAATTACCTTTTTTAATAACTTTGAATATTTAGTACATAAAAGAAATAATTTATGATTGTACCTATTGATTGGATAATTTTGGATTTATGTTCAATTTACAATGTATTTGAATATATTTATTGAATATTGCTGTTTTTTAAACATAATATTATTTACTATTACAGAACCCAATTAGTAGAGGAATCAGTGAAAATCTGAAATATTTTTTATAGGATTTTATCGAAATTCATTATCATGCGGCGCTTCTATAGGTTTGTTTGGCTGCTGGCTAAGGCCAAAATTCGAGACCCGCCATAAAGCCCCCTAATGCTTGACATAGAAATCTCGTTGACACACATTTTTCAAGCGTTCACGTTTCTTGGTCATCCGCTTGGCCAGACTCGTCAGTCGTTGCAGTTGCAGTTGCAGTCGTTCGTCGATTTGGCTGTAGTTGTAGACGTATACATATACAAATACATACTCGTATGTATATATGTACATATGTAAATGGTTCTAACGACCTGCCGCTCTATCGGTGGCTGCAGTTGTTGCTGTTGTTGTTCTGAATACCGGAAAGTTAAGTCTAGTTGTTTTTGGTGATTATTTGGCGTGGCCAAAACGCGTAACGTTTGTTGCTTTTGGCACGGTCAGAGACAAGTATTGCATAATCTTTGATAAGGCTTTGCATTGAACACTCAACGACAAAATGTGTGGAACCAACAATTAAATTCATTTATTAATGTAAATAAAAGAGATGAGTAGAAATTGATATTCGTAGGCCTTGATCAACTGCTTAATTATTAAGCTTTCAACAGAAGCTCTCCTATAATATTTTAAGTCTTCGCAAATAGCTGATTTACTGCTCAAGTGCTTAACTTTAATCAGACATTTTCATGAAATGTACAAATACAAAGAAAGAGTTGCTATTTTTCCGAGTGTACTGATTTATATATCTGCCCAGTTTTGTTGTAACTTTTGGCCAAAATTCGACGAGTTGCCTAAGCGCGACTGAGGCTCTCAAGGCCTGCAACTGTGCAACATATCGGGCGATTCGATTCAACATTTATTGACCATAGACCATAAGAAAATGCTGATTTGTTGCTGCAACTGTCGAAACACAATCATAGCAAGGTCAGCTGCAGACTGCAGTAGTAGTTGCTGTTGTTGTTGTTGCTATTGTTGCTGCTGCTGCTGCTGCTGCCAGAAGATGCAACATTTGCGACATTGAAAAACGCAAAATGTAATTTGTTTCTTGTTTTCATGCTACTTGTCTATGAAATTGCATTTTTTTGTTTGAGTACGAGCATGGGTTGAGCATGAATTTCATTTTTAAGTTTTCATTTTTCATTTTCTTTCGCCATGCAGCTCCGACTTGGATTCTCTACAGTTCCAACTGACTTGCGAGATACCGCGTATACGCGTCAAGGCTCAATACCGCTCGACAGGTGTGCTGATCTTGGTGAAGGCCTCGGGCGCTGGCGACTATTGGGGCGAGTACGGTATGTCGATGATTGACAAATATTCACTCTTGATGCCACAGACTAACATTTCTATTCATTCATCAATTGATAGAGGGCGTCAAGGCGAAGATCTACTTTAAGGCCAATGCCAATGAGGGCGCCGATGGACGCACCTACCTGACCACTGATTCCGTGAAAATGGACTTCAATGTCAAGGACATACAGATGGGCGTTGATAATATTGCTCAGGGCAATTCGGTTATACGTAAGTTTGTAATTCTTTCCTGATCTTTGCGTATTTTACAATGAATGTTTTTTTTTTTTTTAATTTGTAGAAGCCGCCCTCAATCTCTTCATCAACTCCAACTCTCAGGAGCTGCTCAAGGAAATGAAACCGGCGCTGCGCACCAAACTGACGATCGTTATTCGAAACTTTATGGATCGTCTGTTTGCCAAGATTCCTCTGGAGGAATGGATCAATTTGAATTGAGCAACAGCCAGGCGCTTAGAGTTTTAAGTTTAATTTATTGCACAATCTCAATGTTGAAGCTAAATAAAAAATACAAGTAGATCATACAGCGTGAGTTTTATCTGTGACCTGGACTTGCAAAGTATGAGAGCTTAGATGGATCATTTTGGAGATTGGAATAGACTTAATAAATAAATATCTGCAGCTTATGTAGAGGAAGAAGAGAAGGCATGTAACAATGAGGAAATATTTCAATGTCTGTCTGTCAATGGTCAGTTTAGGACTGTCACTTTAGAAGTGCCGAGGAGACACATAACAATATTAAAAAGTATATAGCATTCATGTTTCAGAGAAGAACAAAAATACTCGTATGTCATTTTCATATCCGTTAGTACAGTATAAAACCTACTTATTACAATTTCTCCCTATAGATTCTTCAATTTCAACGAAAATTATTATTATTCTAATTCCGCATTGTTTCAGTTTTGTAAAAGTACATAGCTATTTTAATATATAGTATGATTATACAGAGGCATACTCGTATTATCGTGACAAGTTTCCTTTTGTCAGCTTAAAATAATACTGTTATTATTTGACAATATCCGGTGAATGTGTTATGCCACCCATATTAGCCAAGCTTAACAAATTTCATTATAAATTGATTAGCTGTTGTGTCAAGGTTATTATTAGACGCACGTCAATTGGGCTCACATGCAAATTTCAGTAAAGAATTTTGTGTGGCATGAATGGAAATGCGGAGAGAACTGTGATATAAACAAGAATGGCAACGTTTTAAAGGGAACGCCCAGCCCTTCCATCAAGGCTGCAGTTGGAATAATCGGAAGCTCTCAGATAATGCTCTTACAAGTGCCTGCCAAGCAATGTCTATAATATCGTCGAACACTTGACCCACATTGCGTGTCTGCTGACAATTTGCAACAACAACAGCAACAGCCCACCCACCACCCCAAGTCATAAGGGTTCCCAAGCACTCACCCACACACTCACACACACACACACACACACACGCTCGTATATGAACATCGCTGATAGCTGCAGTGAACCGTGTCATAGCCTTGCAAAAACTGAAATCGGAATAAGACTACACTTAGGGGAAACAGCCGAAGGGTATTTCGAGATTTGACATCCAGCTCCAACTATTGCTTATGATAAAAAATGAATCGAAAAAAAGGCACATTTCAATATTAAATGTATTAGCATTAATGATAGATCCTCAAACAGTCACTGATTAATTACCTCTACCAATTCGGTAATCTATTTGTATCGGCAACATAAAAGATAGCTTAACCTATGCCGACTAAAAAGAGTTTTCGTACAATTGGGTTTCTCATGTTGCTTGCCTATTTTAATTATTTTTGGAGTTGAATACCAAAATTAAGATACCTATTAAGTATAGCAATTTGAAAACTAATAACTTATTGTTAAAATCAAATCTTGAACGAAATACGGTGAAAACTCCCTTAATGGACACCTCTTTTATCTGGACACTAAAATTGGCGAACTGTTAGTGTCCGGCCAAGAGAGTTTTCACTTAGATACAGTGAAAGAAGAAGAAGAAGTTTTCAAATGATATTCATAATTGTTTTATACTCGTATAAAGGCTTTAAATATTCCTGTCTTTAATATTCTGCTTTTAGGGTCACTTTTCGGATTAGCTTTTTGCACAATTCAATCATCTGCAGTTGGCAAAAATTAATTCAAAGAACAAAGCATATAAATTGATTTTTTATCGAGTATTGATGACAAATTTAAGGGTTCAATTTTTTAATTACTTATGAATCCATTGACTAGAAGGCAAATTATGTGCATCTTAGAAAAAAGCTGAGTTTTTAAAGAAGAAAAGAAAACTGAAATCGGAGACTTCGTCATCTATTCTACATTTAATCTGATGAGATTCCAAGCACTATTATATTTATTTCAACGCAAATCATTTGGAACCTTAAACAAAGCTAACTTTTCAGAGAAATGGCAATCGGGTACTTTACAAAAATAAAAATGAAACACGAACAGAATTCATTCTGATGTGATTCCAAATTCTGTTCCTTTTATGGAGACCTTCAATTACAATTTTGTGCGGTGAGGGCACATAACTTGCGGCCTTAACTCGCAGCATCTAAAGTCGAGTCAAGTCAAGCTAAGTAGTCGTAAGTCAAATTATATTTAAGAAAAAAAGGCAAATCTTAGTTACAGGCGCAAAATGCGCTGAGGCATTGCATGGCATGCAAATTCGAAGTAAACTCAACAGATTGTCAATAGCGAAGCGAAGACTGCACGAGGAGAAGATTCCTCTAATTGCGCGCTGCACGCCAACAACTACAGCAACAACATGATAAGGCAAATGCTAAATGCTAGGAAAAAAACTAAAATAAAACAAAACATAGAACAGAAGCCGTTAAACAAAAACTTAAAAGACGATCAAAGCTCATTAGATGAGATGCGCAAATGTTGCGACACGGGACCCTTTGAAGAGTCAAAGGCGAGAATCGTTGACGTCGCTCTGTTTTGGGCTTTTTGTTATTTTCCAGCGAAGAAAACAGCTTCCGTTGGCAATTCAGATACACAATTGTCACAGCTTTGCATACGGTGAGCATCTGATAGATACATTTTGCTGGGCGGCTTCTGACTGCGATTGTGTGTGTGTGTTAATGCGATCATTATTATTGTTATTAGAATATCTGAGGCGCACTCGCTCTCACTTATTCTCCAAACGTTGTCAACTTGTCTGGGGTTCTACGTTGCCAAGTTTGTGTTTTCTGTTTGGTAGTTGCTATTGCTGTTGCTGTTGTTGTTGCTACTCATGTAAATCGAATCGTAATTTTTGCTATAAAACCAGCACGGTCTCAACCGTTTTTCATTCAGTGCGATTTGTTCGACGGTCAGTTAAACACACGACAGAAAACTCGGTACGAAACGGCTTAGAACGTCCAACGGCCCCCAAAATAAAATATTTAAAAAACTCAAGAGCAAACAGATTTGCCGAAAAGAAAAACCGCAGTTTACACGCACTTAAAACTAATAACACCTGTGTGAGTTTTACATTTTACATTTTTGTGATTTTCTAACGAGTATTGCATATCCTTGACGAGCTACTAGAATACCAGACGTTAAAAAGTCGTTAAATATGCGAAAACTGTAATGACAATGACAAAAAAAACTACCTGAGTTTTTTAACGTGAACACTTTTGTGAAAAAGAGCATAAAGCGATCGGTTTGAAATATCTAAAAAATATATGAATATATTCCTATTAATTTCTTCATTAATTACAATACGGCAAATTACTTTTTGCAGAAGCCATTATAAATAATTGCTTTGCTATTCTCAAGAAGAAAGTAAAATAAAATCAAAAGTTTGTTTTTAGAAGAAGTCATTCGACAATTTCTTCGTAGATTTTCAAAGTTTATCAAATGTGCTTATAAAATAAACGGGAAAGGCTCTAAAAGTGATTTATATGAAGTTTACTTCTTAAAAGCAGTTAGTTAGTTTTAAAACTCAAATTAGAATTTTATAAATTCTTCTTAAGCTTGGAAATCATATTTACATAAAATATAAATATGAAACCACTTGATTTTACAGATTTTTTTGAATATACATTTTATTCAAGCGACCGAAGTTAAAATATAGTTGCAGCTTAAAAAGTTAATACATATTCGTAAAACATTATATTATGATAAATTCTTTGTTTCCTAACTTTCTTAAAAAAAAAAAAAAAAAAAAAAAAAATATATATATATATATATATATATATATATATATATATATATATATATATATATATATATATATATATATATATATATATTTAAATATATTCTTGAAGAAAAGAATTTGTATAAACCTCTAGTTTTTAAACAGAAGGATCACTTATATTTATATTTGAATATATTTCTTAGAATAAAAAAAAATCGAATATAATATTCTACAAATTCTCAATTTGTTAGAGTAGTATTACAAAAAGGAATTGAGAAAACCGTAATTTCAAAAAAGCAGTAACCATTAAAGAATTAGTTTTATGTCTTCCCGTCTGCAAACTTGACCCCTTATACCATACTACTTGTATTGTCGCATTTCGACTGCCTCAACACAGAACTGCATATAATTAGCTGTTTGACAAACTCGGTAATTTCGATCGGCAGCCACTCATAAAGAGTCCACCCATTATCTATCATTACCCAGCAAAAGCACTCATCAATTATTCGAATAACCATAATCGAGTAAGCGAGTGCGGTAGTGTTTTGAGAATGCAAATTGAAAATAGACTACACCCACTTATTAACTGTGTTTGTGTCGCACAGTGTAATAAATAGTTGGCCATAATTATAGTAGTCGGACACTTGAGGATAGTTAACAATTTTCGATTCTACGTCATTCGTCGGATTGTGATTTGATGACGGGACTAGTTGTCCAAACTGTTGATCATGTAACTTATACGGATACGGCGGCGTGCAGTTGAGATCTTGTCTGGGTCTTGCTAATTGTTTGTTTTGTTTTCTTCCATTGTTTATATTTATAGATTTTTCCTATACAAGTACATACTACAAAATGCAATCGAATTTGGTTTTTGTTGCCCTGCTGCTGTTCGTTGGAGCTGCCTCTGCTGGCAATATGCGTAAGTTTTCAGAACTTCTGGATATTTAGGAGAGTGCTTGCTATAATGTCAGAATATTAATTAAATTCTCTATCTATCAGCCGATTACATCAAGGTCTGTCATCGCAACGATCCTGAGTTGTCGAAGTGTTTGAAGAACAGCGTCCACAATCTGCGACCTTATCTTGCCGATGGCATCAAGGATATAAATGTGCCGGCAATGGAGCCCCTCTACATAGGCGATCTCAATATTCTTGAGGGCGGCACAACCGGCATAACGGTTAAGGCCAAGAAGCTGAATATCTACGGTGCCTCCAATTTCGAGATCACAAAAATGCGCGCCTCAACCGCCAACACACGCTTTGATTTCGAGCTTTTGTTGCCCAACCTTCGCGGCGAGGGTCTCTACGAAATTAATGGCAACATTTTGGCACTACCGATTCGCGGCAATGGACCCTTTGTCGGCAATTTCACGAACTTTGTGGCCTATGTGCGCATTCTGTACGATGTGAAGAATATCAATGACATCGACTATCTGCATGTGAAGGAGTTCGCCTTGAAGATTCGTACTGGCAAGGGCCGCTTGCGTCTAGATAATCTCTTTAATGGCGACAAGGTGCTAGGCGATGTCATCAACGACACCGTTAACCAGAACTTTGAGCTGTTCACCAACGAGGTGATTGCACCCATTGCCCGGGCCCTGGAGAGCAAATTCCTTGCGATTACCACCAAGATCTTGGAGAATTTCACCTACAATGAGCTGTTTCCTCTGTAATGCGGCTGAGAGGTCTTATGTTTAAGGTTGAGCAAAAAAGTATAGAAATGCTTGTGATAAACCTAATTTCGTTCTAATATGTAGCACTTATTTAACTATTGTATAAATATAATTGACCTAAAACTAAAGCCAGCGAAAGCTCTATTAAATTTTTTTTGTGAACATTGCGCTTTCTTACAGAATTCGAACTCCAGATTAGATTAAAAGAAAACACGCATTACTATATTATACATTTATTTATTATTTCATTTTCCAATCCTCTAACATTGTTCTTTTTAATTACTACCACACCATTCCTCCTCTTTTCGGATTTGCTCCCGTTCTTCCGCAGAGAAATCATTCTCGATTTGAAAAGTTTCCCGGATTTGCTCGGCTGTCTTTCCTTTAATTACGTTGGCCAATGTTTTGCAAGTTAACTGGAACAGGCCGTTGATGTTCAAAAAATTGGCTGCCATCATGATTTTGAATAGCTGGTTGTGACTAATATTCATAAGTTCTGCATCCCATGGTGATATATCATCTGTGCGTTTCTCGTGAGAGCTGCTTCCTGCAGACTGCTCATCGTCCTTGTGATGCGTGGCCCACTCCAAAATCTTTTCTAAAGTTTCTGAGTGTACCTTTTGCAAGGCGAGCGGCTTATTGTCGGTGTTATCGCAAACATCCAACAGCTCCTTAATGAATGTGGAACACTTAACAATTTCCACATCCACTTCAAAAATCTTCTTATCAACGGTTTCCAATTTTATGAACGGCATTTTTGCTTTCCCTTTTCTCTTATTTACGAATATGATGCCTAAGCAACCAACTTCACAATATGAATAGGCCTTTAAATTTATGCGATATACTTGTGTAAACTATAAAATTTATTATTTGTCTAAAGCCTCAACAACACAATAGGAGTTGAATAAGAATGCCTGCTTCGTCCATTAAAAAAAATTACACAAAGACAACTCAAACTAGGCAGCAACTGGAATAAATTATTATAATTTTGCTAAATTCATTTTTAGGATTTGTAAGCTTAAAATAAGATCAGTTTCAGACATTTTATTTATTAAGAATAGGCCTCTTTTACTTTACCTACAGTTGGATTTTTAAAATGGTTCAGGTTCTCGAATTTAGCGCTGCCATATCAGTTCTTAACACGTGCTGGCCATCTTTTGTAATTGTTCGGCAGTACCGATAAATAGTTATTTAATAAATTTGTTTTAATATAGTAATACTTAATCACACTATAAATAATTTCATTAATGTATGATATAAATATACCTTACGTGTTTTTTTATTATGTTCTTTGTTCGAATGCAGCGCCCCTCTGCAAAGCAGAAACAGCTGAGCGCACACTGTCCAACACTGGCATCTTAGGGTCTGGCATCATCGAACAGCCTATCGACTCTATCGATATATGGCAGCATCGAACACTTCTTAGCTCTACTGCTCGGTGCCCTCAATTAATTACAGTTTTCGACAAGCAAAATTAAGGCAAGCAGCGGCGTTGCAAAGTAAAATAACAATTATAAAATAAAATTATAAACTGCGTTACACTATAAATAATGTCAACACCTGCACGTAGGCGTCTTATGAGAGATTTTAAAAGGTAAGAAGAAATAGGAAAAGTCGTCGTCGTGGTGAAACCTGCCTAATACATAAGAGTTTCATACGTACATACATACTTACAAATGTATGTACCAATGTATATGCTTGTGTGCCGTGGAAAAGTTTGCGCAGCCAAAATATGTGCATGTGTATGTGTTTGTGCTACAGTATAAAATATACATGTGGATATATATATAAATATGTGTGTGTGAATGTTGATTTTTTCGCTGCTTTTTATTTTGTGCTACAAAAACAATTGCTACAATAGGCAGCAGCAGAGACGTGTGTCTTTGACACTTGACTTTGATATATGTACATACATGTGTGTGTGTAAATGGCAAAGCAAAAGGCAAAAATGGAAAATAAATCTGAGAAAACGAAAAACGTAAGACACAATTTGCAATTAAACAAAACAGTACACAAAAACACGGCGAATGTTGGCGTTTTTGCAATTGCGTCGCAGACAAAACATCAACAACAACAGCAACAGCAGCACCGACTATAATTTGCGTAAATATCATAAAACGCTCTTTGCGTATGTGTATATGTGTGTGTGTCGAACAGTGCTGCCAATTTGCTAACTAAAAACCAGCTGAAATTTATATTTTACTTTTTTTAGTTTAAATTATTCTCGAAAAAAATTTTTTGCCATGATACTGTGTCGCATGACGTGCGCACATTTAACCTTGTTGACTCATACTTCTCAACAACAACAAAAATGACAGCATCGGCGACAACAACCACAACAACAAAGAGCAAAGGCAACGTCTTGTCTGGCAGCAGAGTTTCATCATCGAAGTGCCAATAAACGTATTAAAACAATTTCATTTCGCACACAAAATTTCATCATAAAATTACGTGATAATTAGAAAAGCAATTGGCAGCCGGAAACTCCTATTGGAAGTTGGAGTGGCACCCTTAAGGACGCGCATCGCTTCCTGTTTATGAATGCAGTCAAATGTCAAGGCTGCGTCTGTCAAACCGCAAATCCTAGTTTCTGCATGAATGCATACGCTGCAGGAGGAGGCTGGCGACCTTCCTACCTACCAAATAATCGCCGCCATCTTGCACCTGTGCAAATAAAAACGTTTATTAGCTTGATGTATCAAACCATCGTAATTCGTATTATTTTTAGTTTTTTTTTACACACACCACATGCACATAGCGGTATTATTAGTTGCTGTTGTTGTTTAATCGATGATTTTATTTGTATCGATGTAGCCGAAGGCACAGGTTGAAGGGCGCGGCTAGAATTCTGTTTAGCTGTTGCACATATGTTGACCTACATCGATTGATTTTGCTTATTCGAAGAGACGCGACGCTACGCTTGACTCATAATAAGCCAGTGGCTAGTGTATTGGTAGAAAGGTGAAAAAGGTGGCGCCGCTTTGTTTGCCGCCCAAAAAAGAAAAATAAAGAAAACGTCAATATGCTAATGATTTATTTTCTATCGCATATAGGCCACATAGTATTTACTACATAGATATGTATATGTATACATTTATATATGCAGACTTTACTATGAGGAAAAAACTTTAGTATTTCCATATGAAACCCATAAATAAACAATACAATCTATTGTGTCGCTACAGTTAGTCAATAATTGACAAAAATCATTTACCTTTTCTATTTACATGCATTTAAGCCTAGAAACTTTTTGAATGAATTTCTGTTATATTTTTACTTGTTTGTTTTACCAAAAGTCATTAATTACAAAATTTGTATGCGTCAATAAGATTTAGAAAGAGGAGCATTCTTATTGAAATAAAATTTGCTTGAGTATTATAATTTAATTATTTATGTGTTTCCCAGAAGTATAGAAACTATGTTCATATGGATATATTTTGACAATTTAGTTGTGTTCCAACATCTTGTGCCAGCTTAAATTTAACTTTATTGCAATATGTATGTCCATATTATACGACGTTTCGAACAGCCACGCAATGGGATGCTTTTTATTATTTGGCGAGAGGTCAACAGCATCGTCATTTTATCCAAAATTTCTGCTCTCACATCTGAAGTGTGTCGGTAAACTGCGCTGTTTGCACAAAAGGAGATATTGTGTACAAACCAATTGGCAAGGGAAATACATATTAAATATAAACACATCCGACGTAATAGTTGTAGGTGTAAATATATATTTTGCAGTTTCTCAATTAATATAATTGCGAAGTGAGACGAATTTAAGCCTGTTTTATGTCATTTACCTACTCGCAGGCTCCAACTATCGCACAATTTAGTCTAGTGTCCAGAGTGTATTAGGAATTTTACTTATTATTTTGTTTGAGAAATAGTAATATATTCATGTTACTTTTTTCTTTTAAGTATTAAATCATCTAAAATTATTTTTACACTTCAGTTTTTGTCATATGTATATACATATACTCGTATATGAGTGTTCTCAAATTTCTCCACTCCTTTAAACAAAACAAATGCCTTGGTGTCGAATCTGAGAATAACTCTGCATTTGCGCATAATTATTATTTTAATATTTAAATAAATAAATTGGTCATATGATGGCATACACCGCTTAATGAACTCACCAAAATAAATGCGAAACGTAGCAAAGACTTACATACCTAGCATGTAAACAACAAAGATATGCACAAAGCGCTGGCGACTGTAAACAAATGAAATCGTAGCAGAATCTGCGTCATCAACAAAAACAATTACTAGCAGCTATGAAAAAACCGGAATATATTTTAAATATTAGTCAGATGTGGCTTATTTATTTATGTGCAGTCTGACAATTGAATTAGCTTTTAAATTTCGTTTGATGTACAATATCTTTGTTCCTATTGCCGATTGCTCTGTTTATATAAAATATACGGAACTTTTGTTCCTATTGCCGATTGCTCTGCTAATATATAATAGACAGTACGTTTGTTCAGCAAAAGACCGATAAATATGTATGTACTTATGTATTTAGTGTTCACAGCTGCGTTCCATTTTTGTCACGTATTTAAACATTGACAGTAAAAATATTTGCGCAATAAAATTGTTGTGTTATTGTCTATTCACAGACTTCAGGAAGATCCACCAACGGGTGTGTCTGGTGCGCCAACAGATAATAATATTATGATATGGAATGCTGTGATTTTTGGTCCACACGATACACCATTTGAGGATGGCACCTTTAAATTAACAATAGAATTTACGGAAGAGTATCCAAATAAACCGCCAACAGTTCGATTTGTATCGAAAGTATTTCATCCAAATGTCTATGCAGATGGTGGCATATGTTTGGATATATTGCAAAATCGCTGGAGTCCCACATACGATGTGTCCGCAATTTTAACATCCATACAGGTGAGCCTAATTCTATTTCCAAGCACGAAATATATAAACTTTTGGCAACAAAATGAAAACGACTTACTTTTTTATTAGGAAGTAAACACTCACTATTGAATACCAGTTGTTAATCAATTGTTAAGAACAATTCTTTTATTGGACCGAGTTCTTAAATCCCTAAAAGATTCATAAAATAAAACTCTCTTTTCTTAACATTTTTTTCTTTTTGAATACTTCAAGTTATAAAAGTAATGTGTATTGCTTATGTCTATTGTACATTAAGAACGTACTCTAGAATGCATAATAACGGACGCAACTATAAATAAAATGTTCTTATTATATATTTTAGTGCTTACCCCATGTCAGTCCCTCATTGTTTCAAACTATAATTGCTATGTAAAAATTGTCTTTATTTTCACAGTCACTGCTGAGCGATCCCAATCCCAACTCACCGGCTAACTCCAACGCTGCACAGCTATATAAAGAGAATCGTCGCGAGTATGAGAAACGTGTGAAAGCCTGCGTGGAGCAAAGTTTCATCGATTAGCCATGCGCCTATGGTAGGAGCAACAATAACAGTAGCAGCGGCAACAACAGCAACCACAAATACATTAAGCGTAGCGTGCAGTTAAAGCAACAAACTACAACAACAGTAGCGGCAGCGGCAGCAACAACAGCAGCAGCAGCAATAAAAACCACAAACACATGCAATAACATAAACAATTTTAAATTAAATATTTCAATATATTTATAATGATAATTATGCTATGAAATTGTAACAAAAAGTCAACTGGCACACAGACTCACACACACATTCTCCAACTATCATACACGCACAGACACAAACACATACATACACATCAGGCAGTTTCTACTTTCGGCATATAGTATATTTTATATATCGTAAACACTAAAGCAGGAACAGATAGATTTGGCTCTGCCGCTCTTGTGCAACATATAAAATTACATCCAGAAATGTTACATATTAGTATGCAAATAGTAGCAGTAAAAAGCAAAATTAATAATAATAAAAATAAAAATCATAATAATAAAAATAATTATTAAACAAAAAAACATCAAACAGTTGCAAAAATAGTTTCATTTTAAAAAATTGTTAAACAAAAATACAATCTAAAACTTAACTAACAATGTAGTTGTCGTTTTGTCGTTGCAACAAAATACTCGAAAAACACAAAAATAAATCATGTTAGCACGCAACTTTTAACAATGAAATTAACAGCAACAACAACAACAAATTGAAGATAGTAACCAATATCAAAATGTTAACTCTGCGCCATAATCTTGAATCGTTTCAACATTTTTTGTTATCTTTTGTTTTGCAATGAGTCGAAGAACAACCAAACTGCCTAGAATATAAAAACAATTAACCAATTAAACCCGCCTTAGTTTCAAGTGAACAAACAATATCATGCGATATTCATATGTCATTGTCACACAACATTTTATGTGAGTCCCTCCTCCTATACACAAAAACATTGAAGATCTAACTTTCATGTTCGATGATTGATGTGTTTATTGGCTAAAGTTTAAAAACAAAAATGCGCTACAAAATTGTGAAACTATTAGAATTTGAAATTAAATGTTAGTTGTTAGCTTTTTAAACTAGGTCATGAATATACACTATATGATATGATCGCTACTTGTTTTCTACAGTGCAATGAAAGCTGTCCGAATTAAAAAGCGAAATCGAAAATTGTGAAATTTAAAATTTTCAATTTACACAAAGAAATTCAAAATCTGTCACGATTGGAAAAGCTTTTATGGTTATTTTGAAAATCCCGCAATTTGTGACGGATTATAAAAACATCGAAATTGAATCGAATTCACAATTTTCATTATAGCCATAACTGTGAACAGCTTTTCTCGGCAGAACAGATTTCACTGTATAAAAACAAAAATAAAAACTTAGCCCAGGCTTTTAAGGTACGATTCTATATTAATTATTGGTTAGTAGATGAGGTTTATGTTAAAGCTGCATGCATCGCGAAGTCACCACACCCTCTGGCACACCAACTATCACAGCACAACAATCCCAATGACACTAGACACCACAAGTCGTTGCACTGCAATCAAAACAAAAAAGAATAAATAAATCCAACTCCTACTGCCACTGCTACGCTATTTGGTTCGATTGGGTTTCGGCCGCAGCACTCTATTATTTAGTTTAAGTTTACAATTCTTTGTTTATTTAGTTTCATTTGCAACAGACCCCCAATTCTCTGTTCCTTTTGCTTTGGCACTCGATGTTGATGCTCTGAGCACGCGCGTATATTACAATTTAACTTAATATTTTTAACTAATACTATACGAGAACATAAATATTTGACTGCAGACAGAAATTGTGCGCATCTTTTTAACTGAACGCCGCTTTAGCAGCATTGTTATTATTTATCAAAAAAAAACAACATACTTTATTATTATTAACACGATTGCAATCCCCTAGAGTTTGAATTAATTCAAACAGACAAAAACCATCTCAAGAAAAGTAAACAACTAAGATTAAATTTAAATTATGTGGAATTTCAAAATAAAACTTATTGTAATTAAAATATTATTATTCATAAGATTTCAAGTATCAATAAACGTAAAAAGTGTACATCTACGCATTTTTCATTTCATTTCAATTGTTAGCTGCAATTCTGATTTTTGACTTTCTATGGTTATTATACTCTGTACATGAAATGTACAAGAGTATATTAGGTTTGCGGGAGCTGAAAAATGTAACAGGCAGAAGGAGGCGTGGCAGACCCCACATAGTATATATATTCTTGATCAGCATGACGAGGCGAGTCGATCTAGCCCTGTCTGTCCGTCTGTCCGGCCGTATGAACACCTGGATCTCAGAGACTATAAGAGATAGAGACACCAAATTTTGCACAAAGATGCGTTATGTGTGTATTCTATACGAGTTTGTTTTATTTTTTTTGATTTTCCCCCCCACTTCCCCTCTATGGGGGTTTTCCCGATTTTCCATTCGTATAATCGCTTATATCTCGGAGACTATAAGACCTAGGAACACCAAATTTTAGTCCCAGGTGCCTTATGTGAATACGCAGAAAATGTATATTTTGGAATTCCCCTCCCTCCCCCCTCTACCCCGCAAATCGTAACTCCCGTAATTCTTGGAATTTCGAACTAAAATTTTGGAAATACCCCCAGTTGGTTATTATGTGTCCGTATGCCAAATTTCATTATGATAGACCGATTTAACAAGAAGTTATAGCCATAAATATATTTGCTGATGCAGCGCTGCTGCAGCGCTGCTCAAGCGCTGCCCGCGGCTGTTGTTGATGTTGCTGTTTGGTTGACTGCGAAAATGCTTACACAGACACGAATAGATGCGCATAGGCATACATACACTCACACAGACGCAATTGCTATGTAAATGTGCAATTATACACCCTTTACGTGAGTTCGAATACCGAGAGAGGTAAAATCGATCAAATTTTTTTTTTTATTTTCTTAATTTTTTTATTTTCTATAATTATTGTAAACATATGTACAGAGTATTTCAAAGTCGGGACACCCGACTTTAGCTTTTTTACTTGTTTTAATGTTGTCGATGCTGGAGAATACGTTAACGTCTGATTCGTTTAAATGCTGTTTCCCAAGTCTTATGAACTATAAATCCTAAATAGGGAAACAAATTGCATAAATATCTAATGATTCATTGAGGGAATTTTATTTGCCATTCAGCCCGCTATGCCTCGATGCACATCCAAGTGTAGTTAGAGACTGTATTACACCTTAAAAATGGAAATCTCCGGCAAGCTTGGCCCCTGCCATGTGAGGGGCAGATATTCTGAAGATAACTAAAAAGTGTTATATATATTGAATAAGATTTAACTGATAAAACTACATAGTCATTACAATACACATTTTTTCAATAACCGCCAATTCAGGAAGATCTTTTGACAAATTTATAAATTGTATTAAATTACAAAAATTTTAAAAATTAATTTTTAACAAGATAGAACGCTACAGTCGAGCAAGCCCGACAGTAAAATAGCCTGTACTCTCCACAAAAAGGAAAATTAAAAAAAAATATTTAAAAAAATTTAATTTAAAAAAAAAATGAATGAATTAATTAATTAAAATAATTAATTAAATTAAATTAGAATACATGTTTATGTTCAGTTTAAACAGCATACATTTACATCACGTACCTATGCGTGTTTATATGCGTGTATGTATGCAGCACAAAGTTGAACCAAAGCAGCAACAACAGCAACAGCTGCGGGCAGCGCTGCCGACAGAGCTGCAGGCAGCGCATGAGCAGCGATTTTACTTATGGCTATAACTTTCTTCAGAATTGACCTATCATGATGAAATTTGGCACACGGACACAATAGTACTAACTGGATGTACCTACCAAAATTGATTTTAAAATTCCGAGAATTACGGAAGTTATAAGAAAAAACACGAATTGCGGGGGAGTGGGGGGGTGTATCAGAAAAAATAAACAAACTCGATCTGCCTAGGGCTTATAGGAACCTTGATACCAATTTTGGTTATCCTAGCTCTTGTACTTACTGAGATCCTTGCGCTCATACAGACAGACGGACATGGCTATATCGACTCGTCTTCTCATCCTGATCAAGAATATATATACTTTGTGGGGTCTGCCACGCCTCCTTCTGTGTGTTACATACATGCGCACAAAACTAGTATAGCCTTTCACCCTTTGGGTACAGGCTATAAAAATTACCATTCTGAAAAAACAGATTCTATAATTAACCAGAAAATGAGCAATGGCTGATCCACATATGAAACCATTACAACTTGTATCTTTTAGAATTGTTTTTATACTCTGTACTAGAAGGGTGAAAAGGTCATGTTGTGATTGTGCAAAGTAAGTAACAGGGAGAAGAAAGCATATTCGATCCCATAAAGTATAAATATATGTAGTATTCTTTATAAGTATGCCGAGAGAAATTGATACAGGAACAGAACGGATTTCGGAAACAGCTTAGCCCACATTGACCAAACTTGTTATTTAGGCTTTCCTCATTCCCAGGCAATACGAGAATTTTATATATATTTTTATCTTTGCCCTCTCTCTCCGTTGAAGAATTTCGTCAAATTCTCATGATACATAAACCAAAATGCACTCGAGTATAATACATAGTTCTATACTTTTGTGTCAAATTTCTTCCAAACCGGAAACATTTCCCTCCAGTTGCCTGCTTTCTTCATCAGTATTTTACCCACAAATAACGACTTAAAAATGCATATATTTGTTAAGAATTTATTAATTTGTTAATTAAAGTCTATTAAAGTTAATGACTTATGCTTACTTTATGTATTTTATATTAAGAGCGGTATATAATTGCATAATTTATTTGATAAATTTTATGTAAAAAAAATGAAATTGAAAAACTGAGCACGTCGAGTGTTGCTGACGATGCGTGTTTACTTCTCTTTTCTTTTTTATAGATAACGTTTATTAGTTTTTATTTGATTTATCCAATTTTGGTTAAAATATATTGCATATATAGATTTGACACGCACAATTCGAATATAATAATTAATGAATTAAGAAAATCTAATGCTAACATTTAACCATATAAAGATACACAATGGCTCAAAACACAGCGCGCCAATAGAACGCGGAGTGGCGAAATGAACAAAATGCAAGAAAGGATAAAACAGACAAGATACAAGTTATTTACATGGAAACTAAAATATGTAAACTGGACAATACATACTCGCATGTGAAGTATGTATACATATGTATGTATATGAAGACGAAAATACGTACGCGTGTAAAGTACTATATAGTAAAGTATATGTATATAAAGTGTATATAAGTATTTAAAAGGGAATTTTTTGTGGTGTAGATAAAAGTCGCTGGTTTTGTATAAAATAGTAAATACTAGAAGGCATCTCTATATCGGTCCCAACCACACCGTCACCAACAGGACGAACATCATGGAATTGCACAGGAAGTTGAAATTTTGGGAAGGCATTTTTAATTACAAGCATTGCTGTGCAAATTTTTAAAATCCTGCGTCTGTGTGGTGCTACGCAGGACCTCCAGCCATCTGTGAAAATAAGTCCACATTTAGTGAGAGATCAGTGGAAAACCTTAGCCACTCACCTGTTGTATGTGTGAGCGCTCTCCGCCCGGAAAAAGTAAACGTGATTCTTGAAGGACAGCTTGAAGACGAACTCCTTCTGCACCGCATCCTGATGTCCCGGCGGACCCACCGTATAACCCAGCAGTGGCAGACTGGCCAGTGCGAATTCGTCCTGATAGCTCTTATAAAAGTACAAGCAGAAAGATGTGAAGACAACCCACAGCTTTTGCCAGCCGGAGCTATTCTTGAATTTACGCAGAAGATAACCGGAGAGCTGATGCTCGGCCGCGATGAGATGATCGCCCAAACCGACGGTTGCGCCACGATGCCAGCAGACGTGGAGAGCGGTGTTGCTGCGCGAGGGTTGCGTCTTGTTCTGCAGGGCTGCGGCCTGCTGTGGCGACAGAGGGCCACCCCCATTCGTCGCCTGCTGCAGCGTCAGGCTGGTGTTGCCGTTGCTCAGGCCCAGCAGATCGAGACCCTCTTCGGAGGAGCCTGCAGAAAAATATTAACCATATTAAAAAGAGAACATTACAATGATGGGACGGAAACGGGATATAAATGGTATCAAAACCTCTTCACATTTCCCACACTGCTTTAATTAGGATATGTGTGCTCCGTCGGTAATGGATTAACTGGTTAATAATTTAACAACATATTAACATCATTTTTATCTGGGATATACCCTATTTCCATTTCTTGTATACCCGTTTAAGTAATGTTATTGAATTTGAGATAGAAATACAAAGAAGAGAAGAGCATGCATATCCCCTTGATGACTCTTTCGGATTCCTTTTACAACTCGACTGCAAAGCAATTGCTGTTTAAGACTTAACAACTTAACAAAAAGTCTGTTGACGAAGACCAAGGATTGAATACAATTTTGTTACCAGCTAGCTAACCAGTTTAATGTAATTTTTTCAATACTGTATCAATCAGTTAGATACGTAAAGAGTAGATGATACCGGGACTGAGCGACTATTTGGTTTGAAATTGGAATTCTAGGAATGGCATGCTTACAAGGCCTTGCAGCGTGCTTTTCTTGCCAGCCAAAAAGTTAAAGTTAAAATAATATATTGTAGACATAAAACCACTATCTTTGATATCTTGCTATATTGAAGAGATACTCACTGCAGTTCTTCAGCGTGGTGGGTAGCTGGGTGGGAGGCTTGTTCTTAATGTCCGCAGCCGCTTTGGATAGTTCAGCCAGCCAGAGTGTCTTTTCGGCGGTGGTGCCAGCACTCACCGTAATGGCGCACTTTCCACCAAAAATGGAGAAGGTGTTATGCTCGGCATTCTCCGTGAGAAGTGAGCGAACTGGGACATGGCCCAAAATGCGGAAACTTTGATCGATTGGCGATTTGGAGCCATACAGCAGGATGTCAGAGAAGAGGAAAAACATGCGTTGCTGGAGGCCGCGCTTGGAATGCTTCAGAAGGCAACCCTGGCGGATGAGCCGCCGCTGTGGCATCACCAGCTGATCGAAGCCACTGATGTCGCGCTGCAGCTCGCACAGCTCTACGAAATTCGCCGATTCGGGCAGCTGTTCGCGTATTTTCTTGGTGGTACGCAGAAGGATGTCGTGGACAGCCTGGCACTCCCCATAGTCGACATGCTCCCCCGCGTAATAGTCGCACAGACGCTCGAGCAGCAGCTGATAGTGCAGCAGACGATTCAGTGGCTTCAGCAGCAGCTCGCCAATGGGCAGATAGCAGACCTTTTGCTGCTCAAACTCCTTGTAAAGCTGCTGGAAGCGATTATCCGACTCGTACATCTCATTCAGACAATGCAGAATGTCCACATGCGACTGCACGTACTCATCGTAAATAGGCAACGCGGCCATATTCTTCATCATTACATCGCCGATGCGATGGGTGTCGTGGGTGCCACGACCCTCCCACAGCACCATCCGATGCTCGATGTCACGCAGAAAGATGTTGTGGTGCTGGACGAGCGAGTCGAGCATTTCGAACAGCGGCTGCAGCTGCTCCACATCGTCTAGACTCAACTGCTGGCGGAAGGCGCGATTGAGCACGTCCAAGTCCTTTTTGTACGTGCGCTCCGTCATTAGCAGCTCTTTGGCCAGAAAATATGACTTCTCGGTTGGCCATTTGCGTTTCTTCACCTCCGCCTCGATGTCGTGCGTCACCGTCGAGTTGCCATTGTGGCCATTGTGGGCAGTGGCCACGCCTGTGGCCAACTCTTGTCGCTTGGCATGCTGTATCTCTGCCTGAATGACGTCATACGTGCCTGCTTCCGAGCGCGGCAATGACGAGGATTTGTCCGAGCTCAAGGTAAGATCGTAACGGTTTGGAGGCGTGGCTATTTCCCCCCGCCTATCCAGCGACATATTGCCATTAATGCCATAATAAACATCTATAAAAAAAGTTAAATAATAAGTGATACTTGAAAACTTAATAGAATATACTAATTAACTAATCTTTAAAATAAATGCATTATAAATAAATACGAAAATTTTAAAATGCAAATAGCATATGAAGATAACTCAAGTATTCATTGATTAAATTATATATATATATTGAATGAAATATATAAGATTTATTATGTACACGAACTTAATTCTTAAATGATTAAATAATATAAGAAGACAACTTTAGTATTCATTAAAAATATTAATTGAATAACAATTGTTGAAAAATAATACATGTGATGATGATGAAAATTATATAAATGTATTTAAATATTAGAAAGGACCCCATTGAAACACATTGGCGCTCTTTTCTTTTTCTGATTAATGAAATTTTATTTAGTTTCCTCTCTATATAATTTAATCGCTTGCTTGTTGTGTGTATGTTTGTTTCTTTAATTCATTTGTATAATGCTTTTTTAATATATTTTGAATTATGTGTAATTGTTTTTAAAAAGATTTCCAAATTAAAGGTGTTATATAAGTGTTAATAATGCAATGTTAATAGGTTTGCACACAATTTGGTTTTCTTTGTTTTTTTCTGACGACTTACTTGTCTAAAATTCAGCTAAGTTTTAGTTTGCTATTCAAATATATATATATTTTTAAACTTCCAAAATCGAAACAAACATTTGCACTCGAAGGAATTTTTTTAAATTATTGACTAGTTCTCATTTTTAATACATATTCTCTTGCATTTCCGGAACGTTAACGGAATTGTGGAAAAACATGCATTAATATAAATCAATTGATTGCCCAATAGCTTTTGAAGAAATCAACCTAACTAAAATTTTGATAAGTAGAAAACATTTTTAAATTCCGGCAATTTTGTCACACAATTTGTTTATAAATGTAGCACAGACAACAACCAATTAGTACTAGTAGTAATTTGTACTAGTTTTAGATAAAACAAGTATTTTTGTATGTATACCAATATGTATGTAAATAATACAAATTTTGATTCAAATACTTTTGATCCGGCAATTTGTGAAATTATTGTACGACTTTCTGCCTATAATTTGCACCTACATTAGTTCACCTGCTTATCTAACCTCCTGGCCTTTCCATAAACCTAACAACACTTAAATATTTTCTCCATTTTCATCAACTTAAATACATACAATAATATGCTTCATATGCTTTAAAACTTAACAGGGTATCTAGCTTTGACATTTACGTTTCATTCATTCATTTAATTCAATATATGCATTTAATATGCTGTTCCTTTTCTTGTTTGTTGTTGATAGATTTCCAATTTTTAATAGGTGTATATATATATATATATATATATATATATATAGGTATGTGTATATTTGTTAGTGTTTGTCGATTTTGGCACATTTACATATGTACTAGAACTAAAGCTAATACAACTTGTTCTTTGTATGTTTTTACCTTGGTTGAATAATAATCTTAAGTACTCTAAAAAAAGTAGCCATAAAATTAAAAACTAATATAACATACATTGTAACTATACTATAAAATATATGTTCGAAAGTTTTCGAGATTCATGAAGAAATAAATGCCTTCTTCTATTACTGAGAGGGTGTCTGTTTGTCTGCCTAAAAAGAGATCATTTGGCTATGATGGAAAATAATTTGATCCACAACTCTAGGGTTAAGGCTTTGTTTACTCAAAAGCCTGGAAGATTTATGGGATTTAAGATGATTAAACGATTCCTTATACTAGAAATATAAACTTGGCATACCATTAACAATTGTTGACACTGCTCGCTACAACTTAGTTTAGATAATCTGCACACAACTAATACTGATCAAGTAGACCTTTGGATATAATTTAAATTTAGTTATGTTTCATTTTTTTTTAATATTCGCATTCGCGTATAACGTTTAATAATTATTAAATGTATTTTATAATTTAATAATGAGTTTTAAATTTAAAACTTTGCGCCTGCATTAGGTTTTCCGTGTATTAGCTAAATAACAAGTAAATATTTATTTAATTATTCGATGATTAAACAGTGCATTAAAATGTTCTCAACTTTTGTTTAACTTTTCTTCTTTGTCGTGAAAGTTGCTCTTGATTCACATACATATTGGATGTTAAATAACTTTCTATATAAGTAGTATGTATATGTTCTTAAAACGCGCGTTGACGCAACTCAACCTACGGCATTATCCAACTGACATATCGTGTTGTTTAAATTTTTCTATGTGCGTATTCATGCATTTGATTTGTATTTAATAAGTCGCAATATTTGATTAAAATGCTTACAATTTGATTCCATTTTTCATTTCTTCGAAATGTTTTCAATTAAATGATTTAATTATATTTATTCTTTCATTCGTTTTTAACTTGCTGTGTGCTGAAGAAGCAGAGAAAAAAGTTAACTTTGCTTTCGACTTTTCATTTTTGTCGTTTATTTGTTTCCGCTTTTTATTTTGGTTGCAGCACGAGAGAGTTTGTTATACTCGTATATTCATTTTTGTTGTTGTTGTTGTTGTCGTAAATCAGTCTCAATTATAAATAAGTTGGTTAGTTGGATCGTGTAAAAGTGGTAGTCATTCTAAAAAATGTTTTTCAAGTTAACAAGGCAACTGAAAAGCGTGGAAAATGCAATTGGAAGCAACTGCCATGTTGCCAGACTTACTGATCGCTGAGATCATCAGAGTCGTGGAACTTGGGAGGCGGATCAACGCGTATGTCCAGCCCGCAGGCATAGCGTTCGTATTCAATTGGTTCCGTCTCGTAATCGGACAGAAAATCGGGATAGGGTAGTTCCTGTACCTGCTGCTGGGGCAGCGGTTGCGGGGCACGGGCGGCAACACGTCTTATGGTTCCTGTACCACTCGCTGCAACCATTGCGTTTCGTGTAAATCCACTGCCACTATCTTCGCTGGAATTGGCCAACTCATCGGACAAGCCACCGCCTCTCGACTCATACTCACTCTCCTCGGGATTGCAATAGCTGCGACCATGATATGGCTGCTGTGCACTACCACCCGACCCCATTGTTGATGTGCCCGCCATAGAGTCCTCGCGCTTCAACTGGCGCTTCTTGGTGCGAGCTGGCTTTACTGGCTGTCCACTGGCTGGTGGCATCGGATGATTAGCGGGTGCTGGCTTGGACACTGCAGCGACTCGAGAGCCACTCGCGATTTGCTGCTGGCCGGGAGTCGGCTGGGTCTGATACATGGGCTTGGTGATGTGACCCAGACGATCGTAGCGTGGAAAGCCCATTTCATCCACATTGTCGCTCATATCGAGGCTTTCAAATTTCCCGCCACCACTGCCGCTGTACGAAGCAGCACCACTGTATTGTGGATAATCATCGTATTCGTCTGTTTCCTCTTGCTCCAGTTCTTCGTCGAACTCAAGATATTGATCTTCGGGTCGATACGAATACTCGGAACTGCCCGAGTCCATTTCAGGTAGGTAGCCCTCGGAGCATTCGGAGCTTTCGCATTGTTCGGCGAAGGCGGCGCTGATATTGGCCCGAATGCGTTTGGTGGGTATTTGGCGCTTCTTGCGATAGCCACGACTACGAAGCTTTGGATCCTGTGCTCGTACATCCAGCGAACTGTCCGTGTCATTACCACTGGGTGGACTCTTAATGGTGGTTGTTGTGGTGCTGCCACCGCTACTTACGCCACCAGCCACGCCACCGCTGCAGGCTGTACTTCCACGCGCTGTCAGTGAACTCTTTCGTGGTGGCTTCTGCATCAACTGATTGGGTGGCGACTCTGAGCTCAGGCTACTAGAGTAATACGGCGAACAACGTATAAGCTTTTCAGCCCGTTGTGGCATCATTGGAGAGTTATTGGTTTCGGTGCTCTCACTATTCAGCGTATTTGTTGTGGTGGTGGTAGCCGAAGATGCTGAATGGCCTCCACCGCCGATAGAGGAACTGTCCTTCTCTTCGTCAATTCGCATCGGCAGCTGCATGGACGTGGAATCTACCGAAGATTGTTGAGATTTGGACAGCATGTGCTCGTGAAATGAACTAGATTGTCTAAGCTGCTTGCTGGTTGTTTTAAACTCACGTATTTGGGTTTTGGACAACGTCTTATCATCGTAGCTGTGATGCTTTGCTAGTGGTTTCTCTGGCAGTGCGCCTACGTCGCCGGGAAGATCGCTGGGTGATAAAATGGGTGGTATACTAGGCACCGGCGGTGGCACTTTTGCAGCCTTGACAACGGCTGTGGCTGCGGCTGCTGCTTCTTCGGCTTCTGCGGCGGCTGCTGCCTGCTCTGCTAGTCCTGGTTGCTTCATTTTATTGAGCAGTGCTTGCATAATGGGTCGCGTAACCGCAGGCTTGGGCTTAGTTGGAGGTTGGACTGCTTTCGGCTTGGCCGGCGGTTGTGGTGCGCGTCCCTTTTGACGTGTCTGCTGTGATTGCTGCGTTTGTATCTGTGTGGTTGTTGTTGTCGAGCTGCTGATGCTGCCTCCCGCTGCAGTCGTGTGGAGCGGCACAAATTCTTGACTCTGGTAGCGTTCAGTTAGTTTTTCGCTTGGAGCATACAAACGCTCCACGAATGGCGACTCACTCTCCGAACATATCTCCTGACTCTGATAAAGCTTCGACATCATTTCCAGTGAACGACGCTTGCGCGCTGCCGCACTAGTCTCGGGACCATTACCGCCAAGTATAGCCGCCGGCGTGCCCTTCGGCGGTGACGTACGCTGTTCGAGATCCTCGAGACTAGTTCGACTTTGATTACCATTGCTGCCGCTACGGCGATGAATTTGTGGCAACGAGCAGCGCTTCTCTTCGCTGGGCGACTTCTTTTGGCCAACGCGTGGCTGTTTCAGCGGCACATACTCGATGTAACCACAGCGCTGCCCACGTTGCTCCAGCGCAGACCCCGCTTGAACATCGCCAGGGGCAACACCAACTAGCGTGCGACTGCTCGATGTAGACCATTCTGTAATAGTATGCGCCATCTCTGTCAAAGTCAGCGTTGTGTCATCGCTGCGCGTGGCTGAAGTTGTTTCGGACAATTTATCCGTTTCCGAGTTGGAGAGTATGTCATAGCGCAAGCCGTCGGAGGAGCCATTATCACCGCTAAACTTGTTCGAGTAGCTGCCGCTTTGTTCATTCAAACTTTCTGCTGATTTGTTAATGGAGCTTATGCTCGACTTAGTGTGATTCGATTTTTCACTCTTAGCGCAAGAGTGCGTTGAGACCGCAGAGAGACTGTCCGATCCAGACAGATTAGCATACTGGCGAACTGTATTTGTACCCGTCGACCATTCGGAAATGCTAAGCCCAATGCTTGTGTCTTCTGAATGTGAGCTGTGAGTGCATTTCTTTTGCTGCAGGCCCATGCGAACGGTACCATCTAGATCGGTGCCTATGGAACTAGTTTCTTCCTCGGAATGGCTTGAATGACTGCATTTTTTGCAAGAGCCCGTGCTTAGGCGGGCCTCGTAGTTGCGACGTACTGTTGTCTGATCATCCATGTAGGTACTACCAGAAAGTATGTCATCGATGGAGGTGTCCGAATTATTAGACCCCCGCGAAAGTTTCCGCAAATATTCGTTTGTACGGGTTTCATCTGGAGAAAGTTGCACTTTAATGGTGCCGGGCATAAAGACATCATCGTTGGAAAACATCTCATCTTCGGATAGTGGACTACGTGGCGCCGGCGATCGCGTGGGCTGTGAAATGATAACAGACTCGGGACTGGAGCTCTTGCGCAATGCACGAATGGCTGTTTTCTGAGTTTTCGGCGACGAAGACGAAGTACAGCTAACGTTAAAAGATGAAGATAAGCAAGAGGCAGCACTTAAAGTGGAGCTTAGACATGTGGCTGTGTCCGGTTGGAATTCTTCGCTGCCAAAATCTTTGTCCTCAAAGGCTGAAGACATAAGATATGCAGTGTCCTCATAAGGCAGTACCTTGGCTACATCTGGAGGGCTTATTGGATACTCATCGTGTGATAACTTGTCATCCATTTGTGAATGATCCGATGCTGTAAATGAATCTAACATAACCTTATCGGCGTTTTGCACTTCACTGGCGTAGTATGTTTCGATGCTTTCCACAATGATTGGTGCTGCAACGGCGCTTGGCGGTGGTGAAGGCCAGTCAACAGAGTCCTGCGACTGGAATGACATACTCGCTTTCCAGCAGAAAGACTTTGGAACGGGCTTGTCAAGATCAGGCATTCCGTAAATAGATTCAACTGGTTTGACTGGCACATGATCAAATGGTATTTCAGGCAGGGGCCAGTCTTCTGAATCCTGACTGCCTGCGTTTGATAAACACATTAATGTGTGGCGATCGACATCATCCGGATTCTGTTCATCTACGTGTGTAACAGAAAAGCGTCCCGTGACAACCGTAGGTGACTTAGGGTCATTAAAGCTTCCAATGCTGGACAGACGATCACCTGTGGCGGAATCGCAAGGAATTTCCGGCATTTCAGCCGATGTACGGCGATCGGCATCAGATATGTAGGCTAGATTATTGCTGCGAGAGTCCGAGCTCAAGCTGGGCTGATGATCGGTTGACCCCACTGACTCGTCGCGCATGCTCACCGAGTGCGTTGATGCTTTGCTTACATCATCTTCCATGCTAGACTTTTCCGATGCTGTGCTACGCTCTGAAATACGTGACAATGTTCGACCCAAGGTGAAACCAGTGCTGTAGCCAATAATGTCTGTGGGATTGACACCTATACCGGTCAAAGTGCTAGTCATTGCCGGATATCCAAATGTAGTAGGAAAGTCATTTAAATCATCTTGGTAACTGGCATCACTTTCCTTTTGTTCATCGGGCGAAACCTCTTTGACATCGCTGTCGGAGGAATCACGCAATGGATTATTGGCATCGTACCTTTCGTAGCCGTCTGTCTCCACATGATGCCAAGGATCATCTGTGCTAGAGCTATTGGAACTCTCGATAGGGAACGCCTTCCAAGTGCTTTGCTGCTCTTTTTGAGCAAGCTCCCCTCGGCGTTGTGCCGCACCCATAGAGCCAGAACTACTTTCTGTTTCGAATGAGCCACGTGATTCAACGCTCAATGAACCTTTTGAGTCAAAACTAGATTTTGATTCTTGGGAACTTCGGTCGCTGCCTGATTTGCCGGCGTCGGCTTTTGCAACTGCCAGTTTTTTGCCTGCATGAGCACGTGCAGGTTTTTCAATTCTAGGTGGCTTACGTGAACCACCAGAGCTAGACTCGCTGTCCTCCGGTCGTTGCAGTATTTTTGCTATGCGCTCCTCTATGGGATCTAGATAAGATTCCGTGCTAATTCCCAAATCAATGGGACTCTGTTTCTCCAGAGTTGGTGTTGTCGGTTTCTTAATAATTATTTTAGGCTCGTTTGTGGGCGTTGTTTCATTTGAGCCAGTGGGTGTAGCATCAGTATCTCTCTCGGCATTAGCATCCACCTCTAGCTTCAGCATGCGTTGTTTTAGTTCCAAGCATTTTTTCTCCTCTTCATTTCCAAAATCTTGAGAAATGCCTAGAGGGCGTGCTATAGAGCAACTAACACTAGATTCCTCATCAACTGAACTCTTTTCTTTTCCGCCGCTTACCGAAAGACTCCAGTCCTGTTGGCGCTGTGGACTGCTATCCTTTTCCCCACTAGTCCATGAGTCTGAGCTCTTCGATTTGTCGCTTTGCTTCTCTAGGCTGTACTTTTTCTTACTATCTGATGTATATTTCTCAAAAGTTTCTAGTACGGATTTTTCAATCATTGGACTAGCACTGGGAGGTGTCACTAAGATATTGAGGTCTGAGGTTGGCGTTGCACAATTAGAGTACTCTAAAGGGACAGCATCTTCGAGGGTAGCCTGCGTTTCGAGCACATTACGATCAGGTTCCAATGTGCGCGGTTCGTTGTCCGATGTGTCCGAGCCAATAAATTCATCACATTCTACAGTTATCCAAGATCCCGTTTCATCACTACGACTACGATCCAAACTCAGACGGTTTGTGTCGTGGCGGCCTACTTTTAAGTGTCGACGTTCTGATGAGTTTTCATCCTCTTCGATAGATGGCTCCTCACATTCAATAGTTGGTACACGGTGTTGGTATCCTTCTGGTGGTGGCACTGGTGATTTACTCGCTGGTGAATGACTGTCATCAACTGAAACAAACGAGTCCAAACTTTCGGCTGTTGATGGTTTTCGACTATAGGAACACTCACTATCTCGTGTATCTTCCGATGGCAACGAACGTTTCAAAATTTCCAACGAACGACGCTCTGAGATGACGGCCTGCATGTCAATATCTTCTTGAACGTTGAATTGGTGTGCGAACATACGTCGATCACCAATGGCACTGCGTGTAACAGTCTTTTCCTCGACTTTTTTTGCGTCCGTGGACACTTGCTTCTTTTCATCTAAGCTGCGTGCCTTGACGTCCGTGCCAAGATAGTGATGTTCGGCAGGCTTTTCTAGACTATTCGATTTGCCGTCAATTTTCTTGTGTAGCACAACATTGCCCTCGATTTTTTGTTTAATTTCTTGCGATTTTGCTATTTTCTTTGGCGATTTAATTACCATATCTTCGGGTACGTCGGATTTCTCAGAATCTTCAAACGATTTGTTACGGTCTTCAAAGCTTCGATTGGCCTTGTCAAGCTTATCTGGACTGCGACATTCGTCAAAGCTACGGCTAAACTTTACTAGTGAAGTATCAAGTTTACGTGGTGCCTTGGCAATCAACACATGATCCTCAGCTTTTGATTTAAATTCTGTTTCAATGATTATCTTATCTCCATCCGTTTTAACTAATATTTTGTCCTCGGGTGCCGGAAAAGCTGGTAGCGTGTCTTTCACAGGGCTTAGCATTGTTATGGTTTGCTTCATAGCCGATTCGTAAAGCTTTTGCTGACGTTCCTTGCGCTTTGCCACATCCGCTTCAGTTTCTTCTTGTGACTTGCTTTTATCCTTACTCAATCGACGCATTTCAATAGAACGGGGTCGTTCCTTAGGACTTGATTTCTTGCTGCCCCGGCCATCTCTTCCAGCTTTGATATCGTCAGCGCTGGTCCGTCGCGATTCAGGACGGCTTCGGGACGTTGGTTTACCCTTATATGGCTCCGAAGTCTTAAGTTTTCCTTTCCCGGTGCTTTCGATGCTGCTGGCTCGCGAAACACCCGGCGATGTCTTTCGAGAGCTGTTAGCCGAACTATAAGGTGACCAGTCAGTGAAACGATACTTGGGTATATTCAAAATAAGATGATCACCACTCTTGAGCTTCATTTTTGACCTCTTCTTATCCTTAATTTTTACGCCCTGTAGTGCTATTTTTTCGATGTATTTAAGTTGATCCAGCAACTGAAGCTCCTCACTATCAATGGTTACAGCGCTGAGTACAGAGTCCTTGCCAGTTTTATTGTAAGTTCCCTGTGTAGGTATTGATCCTGCGCAAGAGTGTACACTGTCAGCAGTGTCGTCATCTTGTTGTATAGCTTCTGCCTCGCGTTCGAGAGATTTCTCTTCCAAAATCTCGGCTTCCTCCTCAAAACCAACCGTGTCATCTTTAGATGAAAAGGCATTCATAGGAGGTAGCCGATGCAGTGATATGACCGGAGTATCAAGACTTTTGGTACGTCGTTCCGTAGTTGGAGATTCCTGGGTGGCTTTTTGACGTTGCAATGATACGGATCCTTCAGATAAATTAAGACGCGCATGTGCAAAGAGTATAGGTGCATGACCTTTAGAGCGCATGACAATCGATGAGTCAATAATTTCCTCAATGAGTTTAACTTTAGACTTTGCCAGCTCAGTACGTGGTGATGCGGTGGCCGTTTGTTTCTTTAACGTGTAGTCAATATCAGATCCGGTAATTTTCTCCTCATGGCATGTTTCGTAGATATCATCGTTGCTACGGAAGAACTCCGCATGCTCTAGTATGGGCGACGGTATATTCTCGTTGCGTTGATAGTCATTTGTGCACTCATCCATTCGGCGTATAGGCACGTGAGGCTCATCTTCTGAAGACGGTATTGAGATTGAACGCTCGGATATGCGACGCATAGCATTTCCATATTGCGGATCAAGCTTTTGTGTGTGATAGCGGCTCTCCAAATCGGCCAATCGACGGCACTGTGGCGGCGAGCCTTCGATTTCTGTAGAGCTCATAGTCTGACCGCGTCCCCAGGTAGCTGAGATCAGACGGCTTTGTTCAATACGTAAAATTGGCTCAATCTCTTTACGAGACTGTGGCGGCGAAAATTCTAAACGATCTGGTATTGCCTCAGCCGAGCCAAAAACATCGTCAGAGTCCAAGCTTTCATCATCGGATGAAAACGATGTTATACGAGTCTTACCCTTTTTCGACTTCCCAGACGACTTAGTCTTTGGAATAACGCGCGGTTTATTTGCTTTTCGAGCATTCGCTTGCAACTCTTTTCGCAGGCTCTGTATTAGTTCCATTTGTTTCTGTTCCAGTTTTTGCTGATGCATACTTTCAGTACGCGAACTTGTTGCGGAATCGCTTTCGATCTGGCTGAGCTTCTTGTTAAGCTTTTCCAATATCGATGGATCCATTTGTTTGGTAATGTCACGTTTAGGTGATGACAGTTGTATGGTTGGTATGGTTTTATCAATTTCCAATGTAATTGGATCAACTTTAGATAAATCAATGTTCTGAGTAAAGAGAAACTCTTTTGTCTCTGCTGGTAACAAGCTGTCTAGTATATCGGGTAAGAAATCAGCAGGACCAGGTATGGAATTTGCTTCCAACTTTGGTGATTTGTCAGTTTTGGGTGATTTTGGCGATTTTGGAGATTTTGGTGACTTCGGTGACTTTGGAGATTTGGGCTTGGTATATTTCTTCTCGCTAGGCGACGGTGCTGTACCATTCATAATGTGTCTTTTGTGCAGCACATATGGTATGTCCTCCTTAAGTACTTTGGTAAATCGTCGCTCATAGTCCCGATAAAAGCTCTTAGGTAGTTCAAAGCCTGTCTTGTCTACTTGAGATGCAGAAGTACCATCATAGCATTTGGGTATTTCGAAATTGCCATGAGCTTTACACAGGGGCGGAGCACTCGGTATTTGTTTATAGATGTAATCTTCATCACTCGAGTCAGCTGGAGTAAGATCTATTGATTTTTGATGCATAAGAACATGACGTCTCGAATTACTGCCCAATCGTGCGCGATTCGCTAAAGAGTTGGGATCACTCTTAGTGCGCTCAACTGTGGCATGTGTATAGTTTGTTGGCACCATTATTGGATTGTATTCTTCAAAGTGGGTCTTGGCCATTAGCTCCTCTTTGCGTGTTATCTTCTGGTGTGCCACGCGTACTTGCTGTTTCTCGAATTCGGAAATGAGTTCGGGTGTCAGCGGATATTCGGGACTTTGCTTGGTTTTTTCATCTTTCTTGTCGTCCCACTGTTTTGTGTAGTTCTGTATGCATTCAATACGGTCCTGATCGAAACTGAATATATTTTCGCTGTCTGAACGTCGTCTAAAAGCCGATATTTTACACGACTGAGAGTTGCTCTTTTTAATGGGCGCCGTCTGATCGATGGAGTCAGTCGTTTGTATGTCCTTCTCTTTGCAACGTTTACCTGAAGTCGGTTGTGATACCGATTCTGGAGATTTACTACCAAAAGACTTGGCATTGCGTTCGATTTCAACATTTTGAAGACTAATCGAATGCACCTTAGATGTCTTATGAGTTTTATTACTTGGAAATGTGGAATAAGTGTCGCGGCTGTCATAAAACGAGCTATTTGCCGTCGAGCTGTGCGTATCGGACAAAAGACAATCGTGGCTCTTAACCTTTGGCCTTGTGTACAAACTTTCGGCCTCAGCAGCTGCTTCTACCGCATCGTAATAGTCACTCTTTGAATCTTGACTCGACAGTGGAAACATTTCGTACAGATCTTTCTTAGTAAATTGCTTAACCTTTTTTCCAGTAGTTGTAGGCATTTCATAGTTACGGCCAAAGCAATCTCCGACCAATGACTCCTTTGAGTCCTGGCTAGAAGCCACCGATGTCTTGCTTTTCGTAGTCTCACGTGATTTTTTACTATCGGTGTGATAGAGACTGTCCCGGGATTTTTTGCTAGAGTCCGAACTGCGTGAAATTTTTGTCTCGAACATCTCACTTTGACTCTCCTGACTGGAAGTTCGAGTCAGAGCTTCTTGGATTTTCTTGTAAAAATTACCATCTGATTTAACACTCAGTTTCTCACGAGGCAAATAGCGCGGATCTTCAGCATCCCAAATTTCATTCATAATGTCAGCAGCTGATTTTGATTTGACATCTATAGCAGATCTATATTTTGGTTGCTCAGACACAGACTCATCATCGCTAGGTATATAATTGCCAGAGTCTAAGGAACACGAGCGCATATGATCCTCGGAACGACGCCGCCCACTAAAGAAGTCAATGTCGTACTTCTCAAGCAACTCGTAACTGTCTTGTGAAATATCGTCCTGTGATCCTGTAAAATCGATGTGTTGTCCATAATTGCGTCGGTGCTCTTGGGTATTGTAGGTGCTACCCGGGTAACTGGACGAATACACTTTGCTGTGTGGCAGCGGTGAAAAGTCTTGATGCGCATCAATGGAATGATTTTTAGTGAAATACATCGAGTGCCTCGAATCGTCATAACGTGTGATTGGCGAGTCGATGCGATTGGAGGAGAGAAACTCTTTATCGAATGCAGTCATGGGCTTCGACTGCTCGCGCTCATAGAACGTGGTGAAGCGCTCATATAGATCTTTGCACGAGCTACTTTTTAGCCAGGACTCGCGCTCAACTTGATCATAGATGTTCTCCTCCAATCCCTCTGCATCTTCGTCGTCATCATCATCCATATAGTGGGCAGCAGCCTCATCCGGTTTCACAAACTGTGCGGTTGAGTACAAATTTCCCGAGGACATTTCATACTCAAGCTTTTCGGACGACGTTTTGAAACGATCCAAGGGCGAGTCAACAGCACTGCGCAACTGCTCAGCACTGCTGCTCGGCTTGGCATCTTCCTCGCGGTATCGCCGATACGCACCTGGCTGAATACCCGAAGCACCCGATGCTGGCAGCAAATTGCCAATAGAATGGTGTGTAATGTAGTGGCTGTCATACGAGTCGACTGAGTCGACACCCGATAACTCTGAGTTACGTGGCAAAGAGTGTGTGAGTCTACCACGAGGCTGTGTGGTGGCGCCCCCAATACCCGAGGCCGAGCTTTGCGAGTCCAACGAGGGTGTCAAATAGTTTTCAGACTGCGCCAGCTTGACGCGTTCGGTGGTAGCATACCGCTTGGTACCAAAACCGGTACCAAAGTATGACGATGAAGACGACTCCGACGGATGATTCAAATCGTTGTGGTACTGATAGTTAAGGCTGTTGTAGCTACGCTCCTGAGCCGCAGCATATGCCGAAGTGCTTGGCTGTTGTAACATTGGCGGTTGCTGAGGCATCAGGCCCAGCTGTTTGGCTCGTGTATATTGCAAAATAGACTGATCTATAAACTCGTCACTGAAGTGTTTTTCACGAGTCTTCGACTTGGCCTTGCGATTGACCGTCGCATAGATATCGTTGCGCTCATTAAGATTAAGATGTTCACTATTAGAGATCTTGTGCTCCATTTTGGAACTGGGATAGTCAGGGTATTTGTAGTGGCCAATATCGTTTATGTCGCTATAGATAATGTTATCTGTCTCTGTTTCAGTTGAGTTGGCGTTGGCGTTATTAAGCATGCACTGTTTAGACATCGAATAATTGGTACTGCTATAATGGACTGGCGTGACAGTTTGCGATTGGGACTCCTGTGACCGAAGCGGCGGACGATGGGCACTGGCCGACGCCAATGCTGCCCCCGAGACTGCCAGTGCTGTAGTCTCCCGATTGATGGTAGATGCTGTCAAGTCCGAATCCGCTTCCTCCTCGACTAATTCCTCCTCCTCCCCCATATCCTCCAATTCCACCTGCTCCAACTCCTCCTGATCCAATTCCATGGAGCTGCTGAGATCCACCGAAAGACCCACTGTGCTGGTGGTGATAGTGTTGTGGGTGTTGATGCTGTTGAGCTGCTGCGGCGACGCAGGGACAAACGCTTGGGATCCCACTGAGACTCGACGAGGCGTGTTGCTGCTGTACAAGTGGGACAAGTGGCTCAGACCTAGAGGTGAACACGCGTTTTTGGGTAGAGTATGAACAAACGGAACACGTTAGGACACAGAGATATGTTCACTACAGTGAAACGAAACCAAACGAACCGAAAACGAACGAAACTCAATATGTCATGCGCAATTTTGCAATAAAATTGCATAAAACTTAGCTAGGATAACTGTAAAAAATAAGTAAGTATATAAAATTATAGAACTATTATCTAAATTAAACTAAGATAATAATAACTTAAGCTTGAAGACATGAGTAATGCAAATCATAAATATCATTTAATACGCACCTAAATTGTGATCTCCTTGATGCGCACGAGCCTGATCTTGAGCGCGCAGCTGTTGTTGCTGGCTGTTGCTGTTGCTGTGGCTGGGTGAAGTCCAAGATTGCGGACCCTGTGGTGAAAGCGAGCGGTTCAAATTCATTTGGTCCATAGCCGCTGCCGAGTGGTGTTGACGTTCCACCGAGCATGCCGCTTCCTCCGCCGAGGTTGGCGATTCCGCTGCATAGTTCTTCGTCTGATAAATCTCCACCTGGGCTGCTGTGACCTTAGGGCGAATAAATCATAAATTGTTATTTAAAGGAAGAGGTGATTTGTTTGTGTGACTTACTTGAGAACGCGTGTGGTCGGTAGGATTGTCGCGTCGGCGATCCAAGGTATCCGCTGCCTTCTTCGTCAGAGAAGGGGTCATCGAGTCCTTGCATCGATTGTGATAGTCCCATGCCGCTATGATGAGCAACAAAAAACCAAATTAATCAAAACAATTATGGTATATTATAAAAAAAAAAAAAATTTTTTTGATCTACACATTCCACTAACTAACCCGGAACAAACAAAATTGGCCGCTCTTAAAACGCAAAACTCTGCCTCAACAATGCAAAATTATTAACAAAAATTAATAAATACAATCAACAATTAAAAATAAAATACAAACCAGTGTCAATTGGGAGTAGGGGATTGGCTGAAATGCTGGAATTCACATACGTATGCGACTGACTTCGGCTACTAGCATTCAGTGGCCCTTGCCGGAATGACTGAGACCTGCAGCAAAAGAAAAGACAAGAGGATACCACATTTTTATTTGTCATGCTCAGTAAGCTTTAGTTTTTGTTTTTAATTTTAGAAATTGTATTGTTCTAGTTTAGAGTTCTTCTTGTTTAGAGCACATTTCAGTTAAGGAGTTTTGGGTTAGCTTTCAAGCTGAGAGATTTGCATCGACTATCGAAAATGTTCATGGGGTTTTTCGTAACGTTCAAAATGATAAAGGTTTTCACAAATATAATATATATTTGTACAATATAATTTAATTAATTCGAATTTTCTAGAGTAAATAAACTAAAATTAGACAGACAATCATTTTTACTACAGACTTTTGAGTCCCTTCTAAGCGCTAAGCTAAAGAGGAGAAATAAGATCCCCACAGATAACAATAACATCTCTTTTAAGATAAATGACGCTATAAATACGGATTTTCAATCTCCTTTCAAATCAAAAATTTCCCATCAAAACACAAGTTATCCAACAGCAAGACTGTTATACTATATAGTCTCGCTCTAACCCCACATGGTTATTTTAGAAGTGGCCATTACTAAAGCAACTACATTGCTACAAAACAACACAACAGATGACGTATCTTTAGAGTTTTATAGTTATTTAAAATATTAGGCATTGTTAATTTAATAAATAGAGCATAGACTAGACTATATGGTTATGTTAGATTAGGTTAGAATGGCACGACTAATTACTACACATTTAGGAGGAGAAATTGTGACGTCACGCTGACTTACATTTTATTATTATTATTTTTTGTTTTGTTTTTCGTGTACAGTCTAATCAAAAACACAAATTACGGGAAAAGCAGCTAATTAGCTAATTAAATCGGTGTACATTTGCTCTTCTTAGGTGCAACAACAACAGGTTAACAACAAATGACAACGACGGGCAGACATACTCTATAATAGGTACATACATACAATCAAATGTAAGTAATAGATACTTTGGTTCTACCATTAGACTACATATACAACACACTATGAACAGCGATGACAGTTGATGATGAGTACTAATGAGAGCGCATTGGGGATCAGTAAGTAATAGTGAATGCGTTTCAGTATTGGTATTGGGTTTAATAAGCGCTGAGTAATAATGAGTGATGGAAGGCCAATTCAATGAAATTAGAATACTATTGCTTTACATGTACATAGTATAAATGATTGCCAATTGTAATTACAAATTAATATTACTGGTTTGTCTAAATTATTGGTGGTTGTAGGTTCATTACACACGCACACATTGGAAAGGTTCGATCAAAAGTATAAAAACCAAAAACATAACTTATGAATGAGAATTTTACAAGCGTTAGTTTCTTCTGTACATTTTCGTATTCATAATATTGTTAAATTTTTTGAAATGTTTTCTTCTTGTTTAAAGGTTTTTACTGTGCTTTTGTTTTTGTTCTGAACACCAATTGGGTTTTTAGTTTTAATCCTCTTTTCTTTTCTAAAGCGCGTTACGCTTTTTGGTTGACTTTGCGCAACATTTCGGCCAAGTTTTCTTACTATTTTTGTTCATTTATATGGGAATGGGGATTTAATTGGATTGGTGGGGAAATAAGAGTTTAATTGATTTTGAAAAATGAAAACATTCTTAAATTGAATTAAAGTGTTGAAAAGAACGAATAAACGAGTCGGTTTATGAGCACGTTGATGATTTCGTAATGTAGGCTGATGAGTTTTTTGTTCTTGTCTGACAATTGACAAGAGTTTTAATGTTTTTAGAGCATAAAGTTTATATGAAAGCATAAAATTTTTACATTTATTTATTTGCTTATTTAGTAGTATAAATAAATATATTTTATTTATTTATTAATTTTTCTTTAGGGAAAGGGATAAAGCTCAGTAGTTGGCTATAAAATGAAAGCGTTAAGTATAAATTGGAATAAATAAAGAAAAGTGAAGTATATTTTAAAATTACTGACAAAAATTGTATAAAATGTACAAATATTGAGCAGAGAATAGAGACGATTAATTTTGTCCACTTAAAAAGTCACTGTATGAATAGAATATAAAAATTTAAATAGGTAAACATTCAGGGAAATGATAAGTATGTAGTATAATTTTTAATATTTTTTCACTTATTATAAAAGTTTTTCTATTCTCTGATAAAAAAAAAAAAAAAAAAAACAATAAAAAAAATATAGAATATGTATGTAAAACATAAATGTAACACCAACATCGGTAGCATTTTAATTAAAGCATTAGCATTTATTGCTCAATAGTTAACATTGGAGCTGCTGCTGCTTTTGGCCAGCGTTATCATTGACCGACTTACCTTTGGAAGGTCTGACGTTTTACATAATTCTCGCGCACGAATTCAATAATCTGCTTTTGAGTTTTGCCGCTGTAGCTGTAAAGGAAATAGAAAAGTTGAGCATAAAGTCAAAGTACACCTGAGCGACCCAACACCCACAAATAAACGGACGCATACGCATCCAATAAAACACACATACCGGAATGAGCTACCGCGGGAGAGAACTCGGGTTTTGCGACGAGGCGTGTTCTGCACGACTGTGCAACGGAAGAAGCCATGATTCTCAACGCATTTCTTCCAAAAGTTTTTGCACTCGTTGCGGCCTTCAAAGAAAAACTCAACAGTATCCTTGTAATAGCCCTGAAAACAACAACAAATAAATTATGTTTATTGGAAAAGTTGAAGCAAAAAGTAAGGCAAGCAAAAGTGTAGACCAATGGACGCTAACTTACATAGCCCTCCGGATGTAGTTTGACCAGAAAACGTTTGCGTTTAAATGATATTTTTCGTATTTTGGCCCAGGAAAACGTATTAATGCGCGTGATGTTTTGGAAGACAGTGATGCCCATATGAGCCACAGCTAAATTTAGAGGTACACCTTCCACATCCTTGGCCGGATGCATCTTCATGCCGTACAACTCACATCGGCGTGCTGTCTCAAGCAGATTTAGATCAGCCTCCGCCGGTGATTGGCCGCTGCAATAGAAGGGTAACGATAAAGATTTTAAAAAAATAAAATAAATGGCACTTCACTTACACATGCTTCTTATGGTTCTCCATTATTTTGCGTTGCATGGCCGCGTCCTGATGCGGCACAAAGCGATAAGAGGATAAATATGTATGATCTGGATAATCCTCGGGCACAAAGTCGCCGCACGATGCCTGCACAATGTAGCTGGCCATCAATGCCGCTGTATTGTCGTTGCACTGCAAGCTGCCGGTGGCCAGATCCCGTTTGATTTGCAAGCAGAAGAGATACCTAAACGATAATTCAAATACATCAAAATTAGACATTCCAATTATCAGACATTTTCAACCAATAAAACGAAGATTGAAATACAATGTAAATTATTCCAGTTATTAGAAAATTAATGACTATCTTGTAAAATCTATAATTTCTACAGATCTAAATGAAATACGTTAACACAGCAATTCGCAATATCGAAGTCGTTAATCTACAAAAAGAGTTGCTGTGGTTGAGTTAATCGATTGCACGGATATGATTCGAAGGTGCATTCGTCGCAAATCTGTTGGCTGTACCTGAACATCAAAGAATTACTGCCATTAAATTAGTTTTCATTTAACTCCCTGGTTGAAAGGATTTTAATTTTTAACCAATTACCTGGTATACTCCTCCTCGAGCTGTGATGGATCAGGCGTGTAGAACTTGATGCAAAATCGGAGCATTGGATCAATGAGCGATAGGCCCACCTGACGATTCATGGGCTTCTCCAGATCCAGCCAGTATTTGGTATGTGTGGACACCTCCTGATATTCCAGGCCAAAATAATCTGCTTCCAGCAGATTTAGTTGACGACACACTTGTTCGAATAGCACGCGACCCAAAGCTTTGGCCTGCAATTGAACGTAAAGAGTGAGCTCTATAAGTATCTGTGATATATGCATATTTCTATATGCGTGAGCGAATGCTTGCATGATCCAGAAACTTCACGCACGATTGCAATTGAAATGTTGTGCATTCTTCCAAAAGGTCAGACACAGCTCGCTCGTTCAGCTCGTTTAAAACTAATCTACCATGCAATTTCGTATACAAAACTAAATGCCAGAAAGTGGACTGTGGATTGTGGGCTGCGTCTGATTGCATTTAAATAAATTTCAATTGAGTTGTCGCCTCGCCCAAGCCGGCGCCGCAGCACTCTTGTATATGTTGTTGTTAGCTTAGCTAGGTTGTCAGCAATTAAGTTATATAAAAAGTAGGTCGACTATTTGCCAACTGCCAAATCGAGCGAGCTGCCAACGAAGAGGGAGCACTCCAGCGCTTGGACAGTCGGCGTAAATGGCTTGCACATTGCAAAAAAAAAAATATATATATATACTTAAAAATACACATATATACTAGTAGTATACCTACACATATTTTATTTAACGCTCCCCAAAGGAATTTTTAATAAAGCCTAATGGCCGCTACATCAGGCAGTAGGTAGCGTGTCAAAACTGTGTAAGCAAATGAGCAGCCAAGCTCAACGCTCAAACTGCATTCGCTGTCAAATGGTCGTGATTTATGTGGCGCTAAGCTTAAGCAGCCAAATGAACTAAATTAGTGGGGTAGTGGGCTTTTAATTAAACTTTGGATTAATGCCAAATTAAATTGATGGAAGGCTGAAGTAATTTACATACTGGAACGGGCTTGCAATTCAACATTGTACATTCTCGTACATAAGTATGTCCTCGAAATTAAGCCAGAGGCTTGAAATAGCCTCTAAGTGAAAATAAATAGTAATCAGTAATTTGTTAAGTGTAATTATCAAATACTTAGCCTCATATTTATTTAATTATTAGAACTATCAGCACTGTATCCTGCCTAAAGGACTTTAGGATCACAATCGGCCTGGATTTTATACAAATCGTTTTAATAACTTACTCAAACTGATTTCAAGAGACGGCTTTTCAATTAATATTTAGTTATAAATTTTCCCGAAATGTTTCTTCCATTGCACTTCGAATTTTCTATTGCAGGCGCCAAAAACTCTCCCTATTTGCACTCTGATGGCGTATAAATCTGTTTCTTAAAGTGACCTTTTAAGAAAATGTTTATCAAATAAGCATACTTTATCAATTCATTAATGTATTTTCATTCTCCAAATTCAAATATACAGTATATTGTTTCCCATAAAATGATTTAATACTTCACAGATGCTGCACCTTAGCAAGCTACTACCATCGCAGAACGTTGCCACAATATTATTCAGCGACCGTGCCCTAAAAGCTCAGAACACACTAAATGGCTTAGTGTTTCAGCATAAAGCAACGCAGCTCATTTATGGCTCATTAAGTTCTTCACACACGTGTCCTTGAAACACAGCAGCACATCAAACTCGAAATTAATTTCACTAATAGGCAAACACTCATGCGAGGCTCTCTAGGCCACTGTCATGTGCCAAAGCCATTAACATAAGCCATATCAGAAACCGAAAACACACAGAGAGCAAAAGCGGAAGAGAAGAAGCCTGCAAGTTTCTACACAATATAATCGTATGGACAGAGAAAACCCACCACAGCTGCCACATCCTTGCTCACAGGCTTGGTTGGCATTAGCCAAATGAAAAGATGTTGGTCGTATATGGAAATGCGTGAAAAGTGTTAGCAGCTCGTATTGCTTCGATTCGTGTCTTGTTCAATCAAATTAACATGGCGGGCAGACTAACCTGCCGCCTTACTGGGCTGTTAATCAAAGGAAGTGCTTGGTCCCCAAAACTAGGCAACACTTTTTGTGCAAAAACAACATACTTCTCGCCTTCTGGCATGCTAAAATCTCATTAAGGCTCTACAGATTACGTGTCTTCTTGGCAATGTGTGAACAACAAATGTTGATTTTGAATATTTAACGCGCCATAGAAAATGGCAAACATTGCCAAAAACACAAAAGCCACAATGTAAAATGTTCTGTGGCTTATGGGCATAAATCAAACAACCAAAATGGGCGTTTCCCTAGGGGTAAAGCGCTCATAGTGATATATATTTATTTATTTATTATATGTAGATAAAGGTTGCCAATATTTGCATTTAATAAACGCTTGATTACAAATTCAACCCGTCTGCATATATACTCGTACACTAAATACAGGGCGTATACGTAGTTTAAGGTAATGCAGAATCGTCGTTTTACAATTGAAATACGAGCTCACCAAAAGCGACCACACGAAAAATTATAAACATTGTATTCGCTTGCTTTCCCACAAAGGAAGTTGATGCATTTTTTATGACGACAATGCGCGGCAACAACAACAAAATTACAACAATATTGCGTTAGCAAGTTTACGAATGGTTTTCTCATCTTGTTTCGCTTGCGGAAAAGTTTCTGTTTTAGTGGTAAACGCAAAAAGAGTTACAAAAGTGTGAAAGGGAATAGGGATGTTTTCAGCTGTTTCCGAACAAAAATAATCGCAACAGCAGACGCAGTGGAACTTTTTCAGAGTAATTTAATTTTTTTTTCGTGGATTAGTTTTCTCTTTGGTAAAGGGGTTCCATAGTATATGTACCATATGTTCTTTCTAAAAATGTGTTTGCAGGGAATTTATAAAATCAGTTCGACTTGTTATATACATATTTTTCCATAAAATTGTTTTTCAAAGCTCAAGCTTTTATTAAACACATGATGACGATTGTTTTATCAGCATTTCATACACACACACTTCTTTGTCTAAAATTTAAACAGATTGCAGCTAAATCTACTTTTTATCCTACTCTATATATCATCCATGCATTACATAACGTATCTGCATTTCGGTGGTGGTGTTTAAGTGCAATGCAGGAGTAAAGGATAGATGCAAATATAAATCAAATAAAAAAGAATCCTCGCAACTAATTGCCAACTAAAATGAAATTTACACGAGTTGCAAGGCGTCGACAATAGCTAAGGCATATTTAATTTAATTTGCCAAAACAACTGAAACTCACTCTCCGGGGACACAAAAAAAAAGAAGATGAATGCGAGTGCACGGCGCCCCCAAGAGGTTGCCACAGCACTGCAGCCTTTATTGTTTGTCAGGAACGATGACTCCGATGACGACGAAGCAGGGCAGCGGGTCGGGTCGGGTCGGCCTCCTCTAGTTTTTCGACTGCAGCAAGTCCTCGGCACAATGGCCCCGGCAAAGAAGCCACACCCAAGCTTTGACATTTTGACTACTGCCTACCGAAAGTAGTAACTTCTGCTTGGCCCTTTGTTTTTGGGGCCAATTCACTAAACCAATTTAGATTTTCTACAAACTACCAATTAACTTTGCTTGCAGCTTCTGCTGAGCAACTAAAAACGGGAAACGGAAATGGTAAAGCGGCAGGAAGCTCTTCAATGCAAACAAGCCACAAATACATGATCTGCCACACACATCCTACATATACTCCCATATACCCACATATAGCCACATTTGCAGACAGGCGCTTTTTGTTTGGCTCTAAAAGTTGGCAAACAATTGCCGCCGCTTGTTCAATTTGTCGTCCTCGAACTGCAAATGCTGGCAACTCTGGCAGCTGGCAGTATTCATTGGGGATTTCTCTGGCCCAATATAGTGGAAGCGCTTCCCTACCAGCAGCCTGCAGGTGTCTACTCCACCCCATACGCTCTATTTGTCTTTGGCACATGGCTTTTGTTCATTTCCAACACGCACTCGACAAAGACATACGAGTAACACAACATAATAGAGCTGTGGGACTGGCTGCTCTGAATCAATTTTCTTTGTAAGATTGATATAAATTCTTAGATTCGGACACCTTTTCAGAGTAAATTTAATAAGAAAATTGAAGCTGCTCTGTGCACTCGAATATCTATTGTAGTCCTTGATTTGAACAATATGTTGGCAATCATCAATATCAAAAATTGGATGTCAGATGATGTTTGTGGAAAATATACTCCCTTCTATTTACTAACGTGTGTAATGTGAGCGTAGCAAATTGTTATTCCCAAAATGTAGGCAACGGTGGACTTTACATTATGTTAAATGGTGCTCGTTAAATGTAACTCGTATTGAACTATAGTATTTTATTATTTATTTATTTTATTAAATGGTCCATTTATGGCTCAACATATCAGAAAATGGGCTACATTGAACTAAAGTATTATATTAAATGTATTAAAAGGTTTTCCCAACAATAAAGAACAGGTTTGTTTTAACAAGGCATACAAGTATGTACGTTTATTTAAGGAAAGAAGCTGTGTTAGCTATTTAGGATTTGACCAATACCGTGATTAGATTCAAATCTGGTTCAAAAGACCAAAGGAAATGGGAAGGTTGAAAACTATTATAATATTTCTATAAATTAAATTAATTTGATAGTTTTGAAAGTTTTATGTATAATGAGATGACAATATTATTATTAAAATATATATTTGTTATTGTTAATTATTTGGTTTCCTCTTTTGCGAATATTAAACATATATTAAAATATTGTTTAATTTATAAATACAACTAAGGCACATTCCATTTTTATTTTTCAAAATATATGTAATAAACATAATTGACGGTTCTTAAAGGGTTACTTTAAATACATAATTTATAATACTTAAGGTCCATGCAAAGGAGACTAAAAGAGCTACAAACTACAAGAATGTACAGTAACAAAGATATTTCTAAGATAGTTTTGTGAATATAAAGATTACATATTTAAACATGTTTGGAAAACATGCAGCTTTCGAATTATAATTAAGTATGCAAAGTTAATGGTGAATCAAATGAAGAAATCCATCCAATTTAGAAAATCAAATTTATTAACTAGTTCCACTTTTCACAACACTATTAAAAAAGCTCGCACACCTTATTTGACTTTGGTATTTGTGTTTGCATTGTCGTGCCATATTGGAACAGCCACCAGTGCAATGCAATACTATAAATTGTCAAACT